AAGTTCGGCCCAGCCGAACTTACCGCTTTTTACTTGTTTTTTATTTCAATTATTTTTTTTTTTTTTTCTTTTGAAAAACTTTTCTACAACTCTTAAAAAATCAGCTTTTATGCGAAAAACTGAATCGATACACCCAATTTTCAATCCCTTTAAAATTGTAGTCATAATGTCAAAGTTAGACCGAGGGACATGTTCAAATCGTCTTAGAAATTTACATTGATCAACAATATAAAATATATATTGAGTCTTAAATGATTATTTCAATGAGTTACCCACGGAATAACAAACTTAATGAGGCCGTGACAGTGTTTTTTTTTCCTACAGAATCTTCCGCAAAATATTTATCGCGTTACAAAAATCAAAGAGATTTTCCATACCCAGACTGTAGGCAGTGTAATTAGTTATCTATTTAGATAGATGCTTGACAGTACAACAAGTGGGGGTAACATACATTAACCCATGTAAATTGATCCCTTAAAAACCTACATATAGCAATCACAAAAGATCAATTCAAGTCTTGTTATATTAATTCCAGACAGTGTTGGTGTTAGTCGCAGACCTAGACTGAAATTAATTCAAAAATCATTTCGGCTCTCTTGTGTTATGTGTTATGTAGCACATGTGCGTAAGTAAATTAATTGATCAAAAAACCTGTTGATATACTGGAGACGTCTGATGTTATGTATGTATGTACATATGTACTCTATTCTATTTTAAGAACAAAAATAAACTCCAGACAGTAACGCACACACACATGCACAAACTAAGAAAAAAAACATTAAACTCGATCGTCTGGAACCGCGTGCATGGCTACGAGAGCTTGACGTAATGGATCCCCCTAAATGTACAACATAACTGCCTTATAAAAAAGAGGTTTGAAAAACAATTAAAAGTATTATACTTGTATACCGAAACCGAACACTGATATGCTTGTTATCTTTACTTACCAACCGGCTTTTTTGCTAAATTTTGTTTTGGATCCAACAGAAACTACAAACTTTCCGCCACAACAAAACACAAACACACCCGAGTCACCGACAATTTGAAATAAAATAAAATCAAAAATGAATTTAACATTTATGTTAACAGAGAAATTGAAATGTTAACATAAAATTAACATAACCTGAAAACAATTTAACATTTGCATTAACAGAATAACAGAACTAGGTTCGCACGGACTTATAGAGTTAGCAGAGTTGTATATAAACGTTTTCGATCTTCTGTTGCGTTAAACAACATAAATTAAATCTGATTTTTTTAAATAAAAATGCGCATTGATATTAAGTTAAATATTGGGTGGATTTTGAGGCTATTGAGTCATTAATTGGCTATAATGGGTGAAAATTTTCGGAAGTAAACATTTAAAAATAAGAGAAACATGAAAACCTAGTATCATTCTAGAAACTTTATGGCTTGAATTTGAACTGTATATTAGCCAGCTTCGAATTACTTGAAACCATGGTACGATGATATCAAGGTAGGGCTATAATACCATATGATTTTAATTTTTTTATTTTCTTGGCCTAATATGTCATCTTTATTTGTTTATGTATGTGTTTTCTTTTTAATAACAAAAATTGTTCAGAAAAAATGCAATTTCGTGTGTTTTCAAAATGTTCATTTCAACGCATGCATCGACAAAATCTAGAGTTTTTGTAGCGAAATAATCCTTTAGAGATATATAGTACATGATTTTGAAAAGAAGTGTTGACCTTTCATTCAGTTATCGCGATTTTCAATTATTTATTCAAAATAAATGCAACAAGTTGTTTGATTTTTTATTATTTTGATACTAATTCTGACATTACAAGCCAAACAGGTAGACCTCTATACTTGCAATTTTTTTCAAAATTGACCTACCTTCTCTTCATTGTACCATGCTTGAAACCATGGTACAATGCATAGAGGTCTACCTGTTTGGCTTGTAATGTCAGCATTACTATCAAAACAATAAACAAACAGCTTGTTGCATTGACTTTGAATAAATAATTGAAAATCGCAAAAACTGAATGAAAGGCCAAAATTTCTCTTCAAAATCATGTTCTATATAACTCTGAAGGTTTATTTCGCTACAAAAACTGTAGATTCTGTAGTTGCATACGTTGCAATAAGCATTTTGAAAACATCCGAATTTGAATATTTTCTGAGCAATTTTTTTATTATTGAAAAGAATAAACACACACAAAAAAAGTTGACATATTAAGCCAAGAAAATGAACAAATTAAAATCATATGGTATCATAGCCCTACCTTGAATGTATTGTACCATGCCATGGCTCAATAAGAAAGGTTGGTCAACTTCAAAGAAACTAGAAAAATGCAATTCTGTGCTGGAGTCTTATAGTGTCTAATAGACTCTTAAATATGCAACAGTTAGCTTTGTTTATTTTTATTTTTAACAAAATTGTTATATTGGAAAAAAACTCGCGAAACAAGATTGGAATTTCGGGAGAGGGAATCTAAAATAGTAGAACAATAAAGTTTTATCAAAAAAATCGTTCAATTAACCTTCTGTAATTGTGCCATGCTTGAAACTTTTGTTTTGTAGAATTAAAGGATCTACAAATTTTGTAATTTTTCGAAAAGTCTACCCTTTTCCAGAGGTAGTTCGAAACATTTTATTTGGAACTCGAGAATTCCTTTTGTAATTCATGATATTTAATTTGTAATTTGAGATTTCCATTTGTTTTTCGTAATATTTTAATTGTGATTCAAGATTTCCATTAGTTATTTGTAACATTACATTTTAATATATATTTATTTGAAATTCGAATTATTCCATTTGTAATTCGAATTATTCCGTTTAAAATTCGAAACAAACAAAAAAAATATTTTTTTCATTGGCTTCATATTTGCTTGTTTTGAAATAATTTGAATTGTATATGGAATAATTCGAATTACAAATGGAATAATTCGAATTTTAAATGGAATTTTACGAATCACAAATGAAATTCTCAATTTACATGTGAATTGTTTCGAATTACAAATGAAGTTCTTGAATTTTAATTGCAATTTTACGAATTACAACTGAAATTTTTAAATTTAAAATAAAATGTTATGAATTACAATAAAAATGTTTCGAATTACACCTGAAAAGGGTAAAAAAGAAAAAAGGTCCTTGACAAAAAAAAAAACTAGTAAAACCTCTAGAATATTTTAAGGCTAAGGTTCATTTTAAAAATTAAGAACGTAGTCATTTCAAATAAGCATTCCCATCTCTGCATTTTCTGTAATTTACCTTCCCACAAATCACTACATATAAACAGGTCCCCATCTCTGATTTGTGTATGTACAATGCATCTATAAATACGAATTTTGACAATAATATGTTGTCAAATGAATAATTTTTGAAAAACTTGTAAACATATTATTACATGATTCTACCATGGGAATCACCTGAATACGATTTTTTATACAACTTTATTTAAATTTTTTACATGGTACAGTAATAAGAGGAATTAGTGTCCTTATTCTGTTCAAATAATAGAGAAAGCTATTCAAAATAAAACCTTAATTTCAATTGCAACAAAAAGTTGGCATTAAAAGGTAAACATTGCAATTTTGGAATAAAACAATTTTGCCTTTGTATTTTGAATTAAATTACCCTTTATATAAATTTGATTAAAATATTGTAATAAAAACAAACTCAATTCAACTACTTAATGCTTTCGCAGTTCATTTTACACAATAAGACTCTGGTAAAGTTACTTTTCTGGTTTTATAATGGTTTTATTTGTATCTACATTCTATCTCTAATTTCCTCTTGGAACGATATTTAAAATACGGATTTTCGACGCGCTCCGATCGCTTAATACTATTACTATAATGCTTCGTACACTTCATGGTAGAAGAATACAGGTAGTCGCATCAACACAGCTGCTGGGACAATGAGCTGTCAAACCAATTTTGAAAGTGTTGATGCATCAACCTGTATTCTTTTAACATGTTACACTTCCATGGTAGAAGAATATAGGTGGATGCATCAATGCTTGGGAACATTGATATATCAAAAATTTTAAAGTGTTTTGTCAAAAATAACTAGATTATTGTATGATTTCTTATACTATGCAAATCGGAGGTTGTTATAATATGTTTTTTTCAGCAAATTTTACAAATTTCAATAATTTTTCATCCACGACTTTCAATTTCCAAATCACTTTGACAGTTCTAACATGGCACAGTTCATACCATGGTACAACAAGGAGGAAGAACAGCTTCGTAAAACTAGAGAAATACAGCCCTGAGGCTATGCCCGCTTCCTGTCAGAATTACTCAAAATTATGTGCAACATGTTTTCATTTATTTTGTATTATTGTTTATTTTTTAAAATGAGCCAAATAGCTCGAAAGACGAATAAAATGCCTGGATGTCCTCTAAAAATATGATCCTAAGTGATCAATCTTAAATCTGCTTAATATTATTAATGCGCCCCCCGAAATTGAAGTTTCTTCCAATCATTGATTTTGAATATATTTTGTTCTTATTCTTCTTGACAGAAGTCGGGCACACTTAAAAAAATTGTAATCACCTTGTAGTTTTACCTTACCTTTTTATTGTACCATAATTCATACTATCTCGCATGGTAGAAAAATACAGGTAGATGCATCAACGCTTGGGAACATTGATATGTCAAAATTTTTTTAAATATTTTTGCAAAAATAAGTACATTTGTCTATGTTTTACCACACAACGCCAATCGGAGATTGTTATAATGTTTTAATAATTTTTACAAATTTGAGTAATTTTTCATTCAAAAAATTCGATTCCAAAATTGGTTTGACAGTTCATTGTCCCAGCAGCTGTGTCGAAGCGTCTACCTATTTTCTTCTACCTTGCTATCTCGTAAGAATTGAATAAATCTTATGGGAAATGTACAGAGACGAACCTATTACCGAATGAAACAATCAGCACAGTTCAGTGTTGGTAAACGTAAAAAAATAGTCTCATAACAAAACAGCTGTTCGACCAGTATTGTAGTAACACAATAATACTACGCATTCATACAGCACTGTATTTGACGGGCTATTGGATTGGTGATGTGGTTATAAATGAATCTACATTTGCAAAAGGAATAAGTTTTTTGTTTTTAATATTAAATATTAAAGAAATATATAATTTAACTACAAATTAACAACAACATCTGCTGTAGCGGCTAGACAATATGTATAACAATCCGAATGCTGGCATAAGGAATCGTAAGTGGGAAAATTGTAAGGAAGACAAGGAAACACGCAAGTACACAATGAGTTTCGTTTCGAAGCAGAAGAAAACTCATAAAAATGCAAGTCCCTGCCCCAAAAAGGAGTGCCTGTTCGCATCTATGCTGATAACATAGATGTCATTATAGCTAATAGTTCAAAGGTTTCATGCGAAGGGGCTTGAATTTTTCGTAATATCTGTTTGCCTATACCACAAACTGACGTATTGATGCTGTCTTATTCTTTCTAATAATTCTGTTCGATGAAGAATACTAACCACTGCCCTCTCAAATTCATACGCCTTTTGCCGCTGTTGCTATCAGTTTGTTGTTATTGTTATGTGTCCACCGAAACTATCTTAGTTTGTGATCTGTTTCGTTGTAATTTGTGTAGACAATGTGTGAGTGTGTGTGTTAGTGGCTATATGCCACCAATTGAGACATGAAATGCACACCATGTACGTCTGTAGCTTGCAAGTTTCCATTGTTTCTTTGCTTTATCAAATGTTGATGTTGAAATGGAAAATAATTCTAATTTGTGTTTCCATAAAGCTTCTGGCCCGGGACGTAAAATTAAACATGTTCGAGATGTTAATGCTATGGGACCGGCAGCTCCCATGGCCAGTTCCTCTCCATACTTGCAACCGACAAACGGACCAACTGTCCTGGATCCAATGCTAGGTGGCAATGCTGCTCCCAGTGGCTTTGGCATGCCTCAACACCAATCTCCCCAACCAATGGGTGGTGGTGGCTTCAACAATGGAGGTATGTCCATGCCCAATCAAAATTATGGTTATTCTGCCCCATCACCACAACCGCAACAATACAGTTCTGTTCCCGGAGGACAGCCACAACAGCAACCATTTGGCGGCGGCGTTGGACCACAACAACAACAGACAGGAGTAGCTGGAGGGCCACCTGGACAGTTTCCCCAGTTTGCCATGTTTCAACAGCCAATTGTACAAGATATGGCCATGCAATATGGTCAACGACTGGCCGATCAGGGCAAGCAGTTGGTGGAGAATCAATTTACTAAATGGGTACCAGTTGCCAAATTGAAATACTATTTTTCAGTCGACAACAATTATGTGATCAACAAATTGAGGTTGTTATTCTTCCCATTCACACATAAGGTAAGTAGACCTCTAAACCTCAAAATATACCAACATTTGTTTACATTTTTTCTGTATTTTAGGATTGGTCCCTCAAATACGATCAAGAGCAACCTGTACAGCCCAGATATGACATCAATGCTCCAGACTTGTATATACCCACCATGGCTTTTATAACATTTGTCGTTGTGGCCGGTCTCATGTTGGGTCTTCAAAAACGTTTCTCGCCCGAAGCCCTCAGTATACAAGCCTCCAGTGCTTTGGCCTATTGTATTTTTGAATTGGTGGTATATACAATCACACTGTATGTGGTCAACATCAAAACGAATCTAAAAACATTGGACTTAATGGCGTTTGCCGGATATAAGTTTGTCACAATAACAGCATGTCTATTGGTGAGCACAATGTTCCATGGTTTTGGATATTATTTGGCATTGGCATACTGTAGTTTATCGTTGGGATTCTTTTTGGTAAGTGGACGCAATGATCGATTTATATGGATTTTGATTATCTTTTATAAAATTCCATTTTAGTTACGTACTTTGAAAACCAAAGTCCTACACGAAACCTCACCAGCAGCTGCTACAGGAGCCATTAACTACGATCCCTATGGTAATCCCCAACAGTTGGATTACACTGGTGGCAGAAAACGAAAATTATATTTCCTTTTCTTAGTTGTTGGAGGGCAAGCCTTTTTGTCCTTTTTATTGTCGAAACATTTATATTTCCCCGATGCGGCCACCTTAGAAGCTAGAAATCTACAATTTTAAGTGAATACTCTTATTTGTTTTCTATTCTGTGCATAAAAACAACAACTATTTTTAGTTTAATTTTCCACAAGAAAAAATAAAGCTAAAATATGAACCATACTATCACGTTTCCTTATGTAAACATAACATTCGTTGCTGTTCCATGATAATGATAATATCAACAACATGTGGTTGAATATTTCTGATGGTTGTCACCCTCGAACACGATGTCACCCACATAACAATTTTATTTTAAATACGCCTTGATTGATAATTACGTTTTCCTTTAATTTTATATTACAAAAAAGGGATCATACTTAAATCTGTTTATTTTACAGATCTATTCTTTTTTTTTTTTTTGGTGTTGTAATATACATAGATTATCAATTTTAATTTGAGACTCTCCAATTTAGTTTATAATTGCATAATATGTATATTTTCTTAAAACATTTTTTGTTAATTCGAAAACATAAAATCATACTTTTTATAAAGAAAAAAAATGAGAATAACAATAAAAATAACATTATGAACGAAATGTATCCAAACTTTTTGTTTATCTTGGAGACCAAGGCCGAGCAATTGTGTTGATTCTACAAAATGTATACAATCTAATATTCAAGATAGAACTCACACATCTTCATTTGTCTAGAATTTGAATGATAGGGCGACAAAATGTAAGCGAAAGTTCGAAGCAACTCTTTAGCTCTTTTGAGTCTATTTGCAGTTTTTCCATATTACCCTGTATTTTTCTGGACTTGATCAAAACTTCTAATGTAATAAAAATTCTGTTTGCACAATTTTTGTTTTCATAACTGTCACTGTTTCATATTGACTTTTATAAAGGAGTCTGTAAACCTCACAAAATTCGATTTCGGCGGGCCTGCGACAACAACTCGACAACATCCTAGTCCCGCCACTAGCCTGCAGTAGTCGGCATCAGAATTATGCGATTATTACCAGTGTAAAATATTCCTAATTTCTCCTAACTTGGGGCGATGATTTTGATAGACTTGTTCGTTGTACCAGTTTATCGTGGCTCTTGGAAGAAACACAGGGTTGACCACTTGAGACAATGATTTCAATGTCTCTGGGGAATGCCAGCCGTTTCTCATCATTTTGTCAGATTTAGAAAATAATGGGTTAACGGGTTTCTATAGGAACATGCCGATTTTTAAGTAAGCGATGTACTCAGTAATTTTATATTTAAAAACGTCATTAATTTCAAAGCATACTTTTGGGAGGGTAGGAATATTGAACGTTTGAGTAAATTTTAGTCAGACCTTACCTTTTTTATACCCTCCACCATAGCATGGAGGGTATATTAAGTTTGTCATTCCGTTCGAAATATACATTTTAGACCCCACAAAGTACATATATTCTTGATCAGCATAAAGCCATGAAGGTCCAAGTTTTGTTTTAGCCCCCATATAATATTACCTCCCTTTTTTCGGTATTTTGGTGATTTAAGCGACATTATTTACCGGAAATGTTTCAAATTTGGTATTTGAAGTTCGTAACGGATGCTACAACCTATGACAGAAAATTGCCTGTGCAAGTCCACGTCTTCGTATAGCCCCCGTAAAACAGTACGTCCCGATACTCGGTATTTTGTTGATTTTAGCGGCATTTTTCAACGGAATTGTTTCAAATTCGGTATTTGAAGTTCGTAATGAATACTACAGCCTAAGACAGAAAATTGTCTGTACAAGTCCACTGCTTCGTATAGCCTCCATATGACGGTTCCTCCCCATATTCGGTACTTTGATGATTTTAGCAAAATTATACACCGGAATTATTACAAATTTGGTATTTGAACTTCGTAATGAATACTACAGCCTAAGGCAAAAAATTGTCTGTACAGGTCCACGTCTTCGTATAGCCCCCATATAACGATACCTCCCGATATACGGAATTTTAATGACTGATTTTTGATTTTAATTCAAGTTTCGCATTTGAATATTGTAATGGTTTATGACAAAAGTTGCCAATGCAGATCCACGTCGTCGTAAAGACCCTAATATAACGGCTACATTCGGTATTTTTAAGATTTTAACAGAATTTTTAACGGATTTCATTTTTTTGAGAATTGCCAAAATCGTTCCAAATGGTGAAGGGTATTCAAAGATCGACCCGGCCAAACTTACATATTTTTACTTGTTTCCTTTTTGAATATTCGGTCACAGAACCAAAAAATTCTGTATTTTCATGTAGAAATAAATACAATTTAGGAACCATTAATTATTATTTTTTTTGTAATGTTTTTTATTTAATTTTATTTATTATTCTTTAGTCTCTTTGTTGTTGTTGCTATTTTCATAGATATTTGCAAATTTATTCCTGTGTTGATTTAGTTAAGTTTTCTTCCTTCTTTCATTTGATATAACATATCATTTGTTTGCAACTGATTTATTTTTTGTTTGTTTTTGTTTTCTATATACACAATTATGTAATTAAAGTTCATTTCCATTATTAAATATTTTTGTTCAATTTTTAACACTAGATGCCTGTTGGATTTTCATAATGATTTGTTCATTCATTCATTTGTTTATTAACACTATTTCGGTTTACACAATAGCTTTTGCTATCCATTTTTATTTTAAATATAAAATATATTTTTTTTTTTTATTATTTTCGATATTTTATAGATGATCAACATTTTTCTTATTTCCATATTACTTATGTTAGGTATAGTTTAAAAGAGGGGGAGAGGGGAGGATTTAAAGAGTACATAGAATTGGGTATAGATAGTAAGAGGAAAATAGGGAAAAACAGACAGACAGATAGCTATAGAAGTGTAGAGATTTCTACGAATGTTGTCCATTAATTTATAACCATTATCAACCATTTACATTTATTTATTTATATATTTCCTAAGTTCTTTCTATTTTAAATAGTAAAATGTTGTTTGCAAGTACTTTACATTGAATGCAATTTTTAGAAAATTACAATAATGACATTTTTAGTTTAGTGTTTTTTTTGAATATATTTATAGGTCATCACACATGGGCTAAAAGTCACACAACTGGTGTAGGTTGTATCTTAGGTTTAAGACTATTTGACCCAGGTGTTATGCATGGATGTCAACTTAGATTTTAATAAATTAAAAGCATTTTTTTAATTACAGTTGTTGTAATAAATTAAATACATATATGTTTTATATATTTACATAGCGTTACAATAATAATATAAACACAAAGAGTATGTGGAAAATTTGTTATCAGAAAAAGAAAAAGTCGTAAACACATAAAAACCTCAATAATTTGTCGGAAGTTTTGCCTTTTTTGAATTAATTTGTTTTCAAATATCTGATGTCTGATGCTTTTTTTGAATGATTGGGATTTTTTTGCTTATACAGAAATTATGTGAAATTTGTAAGAAATCAAAACAAGAGGTATTGGCTGAGTTGTTGAAAGAATTAAAGAAAAGGCTATCGTTAGATCACTCCAGCATTTAAATGTGAATAAATCTTTTGTGTCTCGTACCTTCGCTGGTTACCGTGATGCTGGTAGCGTCGCCCGGAAGAAAACAGCAACATCAGCAGAAATGGTTCGAAAAGTAAAGAAGCGACTTGATCGAAACACGGGTCACAGTGACCGAAAAATGGCTCGTGAGCTGAACATATCGCAATATTCCATTCAGCAAATCTTAAAAAATGAGCTCGGGGTAAAGCCGTTCAAGTTCCAAAGAAATGCAAGAACTTACACCGCAGCAAAAAGAAAATAGAAACAAAAGAGCTAAAGAGTTGCTCGCTTGGCCGAAAGTGGTGAACTGCCGAATTTGGATTTCTCTGATGAGAAAACATTTCTTGTCCAGCTGTTTGTAAACAAACAAAATGATCGTGTTTACTTGCCAAAGAGGTCAGCTGAAAGTGTGCACCTTCGGTTGGCCACCATAACTCAAGCGGCGGTCATGGTGATGGTGTGGGCCGCCATAACAGCCTCTCCGCTCGTATTAATCGACCGTGGCATGAGAATAAATGCCAAATGTTATCGCGAAAATATTTTGGAGGGTATATTAAAGCCTTAGGCACACAAAAATTTTGTCCGCAGACGTTGGACATTTCAACAGGACTCAGCACCATCGCCCTCAGCGCGCGCCACCCAAGAATAGTGGCGCACAATGGCCACAAAAATCTCCGGATACCAATCCGTTGGACTATTGTGTCTGTAGTATTTTGGAAAGCAAGGTTGGCACTAAAAAATACAAAAGTGTCGATCACCACAATCAAGTTCATCGCCGGGAATGGGCCAAAATACTGCAGAGCAACAATCGGGCAGTGTGTGAAAACATATTCTAAAATTTGATGCTTTTTCCGACATTTTTGCTTTCATTCAATAAAATTTAAAAAAAATGTAAAAATAATGCCGTTTAACTTTGTTGCAGTTCTTTTATATCACCCTGTATTCCATCTTCACACCCGATCTTTTGTTCATAGAAATGTTGGGATGTGCCGAGTTTAAAAGGAATCGGATACTCATTTCAGTTTTATGATATCCAAACTTATTGAATATTTTTAACCTCTGTGAAGAAGGTACCAGAAGAAGTGAGCCGATATCTACGATCTCCACATCAAACCTTATTTTAGTGGAAATATTGAGATGTGCGAAATTTGAAGATACTCGGACTTTTATTTCACATTTTAATAAGAGTTATAATTATTTAAAATTTTTCCCTTCTCGCAGCTGCTAGCACTAATACAAATAGTGGGATTTTCAAAATTTTCACAAAATTGAATGATCATTTCTCTTTTTGTGGGAGAGGTATCAGAAGGAATGGACCGATAATGACCATCTTCGAACTCGATCTAAGTTTGATAATAATATTACGATGTACCAAGTTTGGACCAATTCGGATACTCCATTCGAGAGTTACCGTGCGCACCAGCCATAGGACAAAAACTGTTTGAAGGATTGCAATTAATTTTGAAATTTTTACTGATTTTCCGTTCACTTTTTTTTGGATTAATAGGGGAAATAATGTTGTACGAATTCGAGCGTGCCTTTCTAACTGACATTGTAGTATTCTGGAGGTAAAGCAGAGAGTTCCATTTGAAAATTAGTCGCCATGGGGAAAATAAGTTTTTATGTAAAATAGAAGTCATAATTAAGAGTAATTAGCTCATATCGCTCACAACATAAATACAAACTTCGGCATGACGACGGTCTGCTCAACCCCAATGGACTATATCAACAGATAGGAACATTCCGATAATTCTCCGAGATGTGTATGAAACACATATTGCAAGGAGTGTAAGGCTAATCAAAGATCAAATTGTCACAGTAAAACGTTCGGATCCCTATTAACTCTTTGCATTAAATTTGAAATATATGTGTGTTTTAAAACTTAAAAACTAAGTAAACAATTTCACTATGGGAACAAACAATGTCAATTACGATGCATTAATACTAAAATCATATACATATAATAAAAAATCTCTTTTTATAAAATACATTAAAGAGGTTAAACAAAAATAAAAAAAAAATTAAAAAACAATTTATAATTGCAAATACATGGGTAGGGTTTTCGGCAAAAGGGGCTAATCTTTGTTGGTTGGTTTTCTTTAGAATGTAAATTCTTTTCAATAAAGATTGTTCTTCCACGAGTATTGCTTTGTGTTACTTGCTCCAAAACTTGAATGATTCATTTTTGTTGTATGTTGTAATAACATTTAAATATATTTATTTGTTTTTTTTTCTTAGCTTTTAAAGATGGTAGTTGTTATATAACAGTAGTTTTGTTTTTTATATATATTTTATTTGATATCAATTTATAGTTGAATTGTTCATTTAACATTTACAAGTTTTCTTTTCATGTTTCTTTTTTTTTGTAATAATAAATTGGGAACACGCTGTATTTAAAAAAGATTTATTTTGATTTGTTTTTATTATTTTTTAGGTTTTTTATTTTAAAAAGTGTTAACTTATAATAAATGGATAAATTAACTATAAGGCAAAATTATTTAGGAAGTAAATATTGTAATATTTTTTCTTTATACATAACACATATTTTCTTGAATAATCGTAATATGATATAATATATGAATAATAATAATTATTTTTTAAATTAAGAATCATAAAGGCTGCTATCCTTGTAATTTTTACAAACAATACAAATCTTTGGTGAACTCCAAAAAAATAATTAATTACTGAAATTATTTCCAAAACATAAACAATTTGAGATTCAGTTTTTATTTTCTTTTGAGAAACCTTTCAAATGTTCAAGTCTAACAAACTTTTCTTTTGCTGTTTAAAATATATAACTGTTTTTTAAATATAGTAGATTTAACAACTTCCAAATACTAAATAAATACATTTTATAGTCATTTAATTTGACCTTATATAGCTTATAGCCCCCATATAGGCTCGAAATAGTTAAAAGCATTCAAATACACTGATAATTTTTAAAATTTAGATTAATTTGTAATGTTTTTTTTGGCGAAATAATTTTTCAGATACACAAAAAATTATGCATGTAAAAAAATATGCCAAGAGGAAACTCCCCCCTCGCTCCTCTTATGAAGAAGTTTTGTTGATCTTCCAAAATTTTCAGCGAATCTCGAATTAAAACCAGTAAAGAAAGTATTAAAGTCGGGCGTGCCGACTTTATAATACACTACACCACTTTGCATATTTAGTAGAGCTTCACATAACAAATAAAAGTTTTAATGGCGAATTTGTGAGAGTTAAATCATACCAACTATGATTATAGTAATAATTTATAGTATTTATATATTTTATAGTAAAGGAAGTAATATATAGGAGGAATATCCTCCTCTGAATCGATTTTTACTAAATTTGTCGAAGCATTTGCACCTTTTCAATTCAGGCTTGTATTATCCAGTTGGTGCACAATTAACCTGAAATCGGATAGATATATATGAGAGCTATATCTGAACCGATCTCTATAAAATTTGGCAAAGGTATTTCTGAGCTGTATTTGATATATTTCCCGAATATTGTCACTACGGAATCCATATTACGGCTATGCAGGGCAAATTCAACAAATCGGATGAACAATATGTATGGGAGCTTTAGCTATATCTGAACCGTTTTCCACCAAAGTTGACATACTGGTTTCTAGACTCAATTCGGTCGTAAATACAAAATTCCATTCCATTTGGGCTAATATTACACGTTTGGTGCACAATAAAAAGCAAATCGGACGAGGATATATATGGGAGCTATATTCAAATATTAACCGATCTCCATAAAATTGAATAAGGGTATTTCTGAGTTCTATTTGATATATTTCCCCAAATATCGTTGTTACAGAGTGCATACTACGGCTGCGGAGGACGAAAAATAAACAATATATATGGGAGCTATATCTATATATGAACCGATTTCGATCAAATTTAGCATACTTATTTTCAGGTCCAATCTGGTCATATATGCAAATCCATACAATTTCAATAGGGTTCGTCCTTGGAACAATTATTTGTGCAAAATTTTATCTGAATCGGGCAATAAATGCGACCTGTACTTTGTTTACAAAAATACATGGACAGACGGACAGTCAGACGGACGGACATGCATAAATTGACTCAGAATGTGATTGAGCTTAGGGTTGTTCAGCAGCCTTCCAATGATGGTCATCGGGTAATATTTATTGGGTGAAATAGACCATAACATTTGTGTACCAGTCAAATTTCCCATTAAACCGCGAATATTTTTAATACCACCAAAAACACAAATAGACGGAAAGGTGAATTCTGACCGTTACGTAGATGCCGATAGTAAATATATCGGATATATAGCGAAATATATACAATGTGTATATACAAAGTAAGGAGATGTTAGCTAGAATGCTTATATCTCAAGAATGGCTGGACCGATTTTGGCAAACTGAAATGTTCCTGAGTTTGCAGCCGTTATAAAAGTCGCAAATAAAAACCAAAGGATACGAAATCTCGCATTAAGTTAGAGTTTAGGACAGCGGCTAGAATGGACCACTACTTTTGTGTGAAAAAATACCAACATTACTTACAGGCGATATCCGAAATACACAAAAGGCGAACATCTGGCTTTTTATGCTGATTTCGTTGACGAATGTAGCCAAATATCGTAGACAAATTAATCAAATAGATGAGTCTAAATTTGGAGATACAGATGGGCCTCTTGCTTTTGGAGATGATCGCAAAATATTTAGGGGTTAAAATGAACCAAAAAGAGAAAAAAATCTGATCACACAATTGAAGCCAATCGTCGACACGCCTCAGAAGAGAGAAATTCTAGAATTTTGGATGACCATTGGATTATATTCAGCTATAAAATGGACCACAACAACTAACAACACGGCGGAGGGCTGTAGGGTATCACATGGTCGGCCCCGCACAACTATAGCTGTTGCTTACTTGTTTTCCCTTAGACATGTTGAGCAATACTTGAAAATATTTACAAATCTTAATTCATTTATGTAGTAAATCTGAAACCTCAAAATGTTGTCAGCAGGGACAAAAACGGTTCCTTATTCGCCATACAAATTATTTTTTTTTAGCTAAAATATCCTCCTTAAAGATAAAACATACATATTTTAAATTTTCGAAACATTGAAAACAGTTATATAACACTACTAAAGTTATCACAACATGTTTTGTTTTAAAATTCACATTTTACGGAATATTAACGCGTATTTTCAATTATCTCAAAGTCTGGAAAGCAAATTAAAACAAAAAAAAAATATATATATATACAACATGAGTCTCTGACTACATAATTTCATTCATTCACTCATTCATGGGCTAACGATTATTTCCATTCCAAAAAAATTACTATACACTTTTGCTTTAGAAATAAATTTATGAAAAAAATATTATTTTTGTAGGTTTTGTTTACTTATTTTGTAATTTATTTAATTTATGTTTTAATATTACTATAAACTTGTTGTTGTTATTTAATATTATTTATGTATTAACTTTTTAAAAATATTTAACAAAAAACTAATAAGAAAGTAGGGTATGAGAGAAGAGGCTATAACATATTATTTTCTCGGTTAATTGGTTTATGATGCATATTTATGCCTTTTATTGTTATGTAATAATATGCATTTTGTTGTTATTATTAGTTTCGTTTTTTTTACATATCAAAAATAAAGGAATTGTATAAAAAAAGTTTTTTATAAAAACCATTTTTATTTTTTGTTTCCTAAATAATATTATCATCAGATTTCTTTTGTTTTTACACTCTTTGCTCACCTGTGGTTAAACAGAGAATATTTGTTGTTGTTGTTGGCGCTAAAGTTACCATAGTAGTTGCTGCTGTTGTTGTTGTTGTTGTTACAAGAGTAGTACAGGAGGGAGTAGTAGTAGTAGAAGTGATTATAGTACTAACAGTAGAAGTAGTAATTGTAGGATGACTTGGAGTATAGTGATTTAATTTCTCTAAATTCTTATGATACTGTTTTATATTAATTTTATCGAACTATATTACCGTACCGCCGGGCGGTGCTGTTTGCGTTGGCGATAAATGTTGCGGAACATTCTGAAATAGAAAACGAAAAAGAGATAAGCATCCATTTCAAATCAAGTATTAACACATCTGTATTAAAACACATCAAAGGTAAAAAAAATGAAAATAGAAGTAGTTTAAAAATATTGTAATTATGTCCAAATTGTAAAATACCGGGTGAGATGAAAAAGTGCAACCAACTTCAGACTGCTGTCATTTCTAAGCCACTAGTCCGATATCTGTTAAAATTATTCCAATATTCCGTTCGGCAAATATTGAAAAAAAAATGAAATTCCAACAAGTGGAAGAACTTACATCGCAACAGAAGAAAATAGACTCAAAAGAGCTAAAGAGTTGCTTCGCTTGGCCGAAAATGGTGAATTTGGTTTTCTCCGATGAGAAAACATTCCTTGTCCAGCAGTTTGTAAACAAATAAAATGATCGTGTTTACTTGCCGCAGAGGTCAATTGAAAATTTGCACCTTCGGTTGGCCACCAGAACTCAAGCGCCGGTCATAGTGATGGTGTGTCGCTCTCCGCTAGTATTAATCGACCGTGGCATCAGAATAAATGTCGAATATTATTTATATTAAATATTCTGGAGGGTGTATTAAAGTCTTAGGAACGCAAACATTTTGTCCGCAGACCTTGGACATTTCAACAGGACTCAGCACCATCACAATGAGGCTCCTCGCTTCATTTCCAGCGAACAATAGCCACCAAAATCTCCGGGTACCGTTGGACTATTGTGTCTGGAGTATTTTGGAAAGCAAGGTTGTCACTAAAAAATACTAAAGTGTCGATCACCTCAAACAAGTGCTTCGCCGGGAATGGGCCAAAATACCGCAGAGCAACATTCGGGCAGCGTGTGACGGTTTCATTGGCCGTTTGAAGCCCATAATTCGTTCCAAAGGTGACCAATTCGAACAAAACCAAACTTACTCTTACACTTGATGCTATTTCCGACATTTCTTGCTTTCATTCAATAAAATTTAAAAAAAATTAAAGAAGTTAAATCACAGATTAAGGAGGCCACTGTACAAAAACGAACAATAAGGGCGGTGCTCCAATAATAGGATTCGGGGATCACTTTCCCAACATAAGGACAGAATAGGCAAAAACAATTTTGGACACAGATAAAAGGGTCCACTGCACAACAATTAAGAATGAGACAGGGCCCAGCTGACCTCAAATAAAAGACCTTAGGGAGTAGCTTCCGAATATAGGTCCATATTAGCAAAAAATACTGAGTCAACATTTTTTGCTAATATGGACCTATATTCGGAAGCTACTCCCTAAGGTTTTTTATTTGAGGTCAGCTGGACCCTGCCTCATTCTTAATTGTTGTGCAGTGGACCCTTTTATCTGTGTTTTGGTAAAATTACAGATAAAAGGACCCAGTGTACAAGAAATTAGGAATGAGACATCGAGGTTCAACTCAATAGCAATATCTAAGGGAGTATTTTCCGAATATAGGTTCATCAAAGCAAAAGAATTTTGGACTTTTTTGAAGTTTCTGAAAATAAAACGACAGGTAAAAAAAACTACCAAAAAAAAGGACTGTACCTAGTTTTGCATCAATCAGACGAAGGGAGAGATGACATGTATAAATCAACTCAGAATGTGATTCTATAGAGAGCACGAAAAGGAACTAAAAGTTTCCTTCTGCATGTTACAAGCAAATTCATATTATACGCCGTACCACAGTGTGGTAAAGCCACCCCCGTTTGCCATGTAAAAGTATTTTTGCAATTACGGAGAATACTCTTTAACACAATGTAACTTGTCATTTGAATACAAAGTAAAACTTACCGTTGAATAACCCGGTCTAGCCCATGTATAAATAAATCCATCCTGACATGCCGTTAGAAAACAATCTTCACGAAATATTAATGCACTCAAACGCTCATGAGCGATCTTTTTGCACACCAACGGCTCCAACAGTGGACACTCATCGAAACGGGGACACGCTGGTGTACCAATCAATTTCAGTGGGTCATATGATGTTATAATTGAATTGGTTGTTGACGATGGCGAGCAATTCGACATGTTGTGTGACAATGAATTGTGGTGATGTTGATGTGACGACGACGATTTGCCCAGCTTGAGAGAACCGAAACTGTGCGACGATGTTGACGTTGAATTTGCATTTGTTTCAATTTGTGTTGAATTTGCCATATGCTGGTGATTGCTATGATGATGATGATGATTTAGTGTGGAGGAATTACGATGATTATACGATTTGAGTAGACTTAGGGTGCGACGATTCGCCCGTGTACTGCCACCCTCTAGATTTAGAGATTTCTTGTCGGATGAGTTGAGAAATGAGAAATTTGATAGACGTTGGGTTAGCGAGTTGAATGCCGACATTCCCGAATCTGAAGATTTGCTGCTGTTCGATGTTTTGCTATTGTAGCCCGATGATGAAGAGAGTGTGTTGACATGATTTCCAGTTATGTTACCATCTATTGAGTCCGACTTAGTGGTTGTTATGCAATTAGGAAATTTTATTGACCCTCCACCGCCACCACTGCTACTAATGGCATTTGAAATCGCTTTCGAATTGGCTTTTGTCGACGTGGACGCCGTTACCGAGCTATCGTCGGGTGGCGTATTGGCATTAGAAGATTGCGATGATATCGTACAATTGGCTGTGGAAAATTTACTAGAACTACTATTACTATTTTGTTCTCCTGAAGCTGCTGATGTCTGTGGTGTGGTCGTTATATTGCTGGTCTGCATATCTTTGGTAGGACTACTACAGTGCTGTGGCTGGGGGAAGTTAGGATGGCCTATGGCCACTGGTCGTATGACTTTCACACCATCGGCGTCTGTGCCGCCATTCATAAAACTAGAGTCGTTCAAATTAGAACTATTCACACGCTGGCGCAGGGACAAAGGATGCCTTAGTATATCCTCGGTGATGTCCCACAAACATATTTGAGTGTCTTGACTAACAGAACCTAAACGATAACTTATGGCTAATTTATCTGGAGCCAATGAAGAGGCCTCCGAACGAAATGACGCCGACTGGGGCCTCTGTCGTGTGTGAATGGGCGTTGAGTTTTTATCGTGACCACCCGCAGCTCCACCATACGAATCGTAACCATTCACTGCCGACGACTGATCACCCGCATATCGTGATCCTGCCGTTGAATACTCCATTATTTGATTCTCATCATCCGAAAAGTCTCCACCATCCCACGAGGTATATGAAGTGGTGTATGGGTCAAAAGCCACCACTGAAACCCACGATCTGTGACCCTGACCTCGGGCCACAACCCGTCGCTCATGAAATGACCACACTGTGACTAAGTCATCTTCCCCACCCACCACAATATATTTGCCATCCGGTGACCAGCATACACATAAAAAACCACCAAAATAGGAACGCGCTATACCCAACAATTCCATTGTGTCATAATGAAACACTCTGAGAAAGCCATCTTGAGATACTATTGCTAAATTTGAACCACATGGTGAGAAGCAAAACTCATTTATACAACAGTTCTCGGTGTTGAAAACCCATTTGTAGAGAGGATTTCTACTCGATTTCGATTTGCAGGTTAGTATTGAATAGCCATCGCCCATTTTGAAGGACTGATAGACGGGCGCCGTCGGTGGACATTGTAGATTCTCGTTGTATAGATACAGGTGTCCCGACGCGTGTGAGGCCAAAAAGAGATTTGGTGAATTTGGCAGCCATTTTAAGCAGGTCACTTTGGTTTTGTCAATAAGACGCTGTAAAAATATATCAAAATGCGTTTTAATTAAACGAAATAAATTGTTGATGTTGTAGAGACTTACATCTTCATTGTAAAGTTTTCGATATTCACGTGGTCCTGGCTGTGGTGAAACCAATTGTATTTGTCCCGTTGTAAAGCCCACCAGTAAAGGCGCGCCAGTAGGTGTTGCTGTGGTGGCATTAAAATCATGACAGCTGGGATTGGTACCTTTGTAGAATTTCCTATCAATTGGCTTACTTAGTTCGGCACCCTGTCGATAGAAGAAAATATGTGTTGATTATTTTCACATTTGCACATATAATTAAGATTATTTGTTTATAATATAACATTGATTTGCTCAAACTATCTATCTACATGTGGCAAAACAGTGCAAAATCTGAATCGAATCGATTCCATTAATTTTAGAAGTATTTCTACGAGCGAGGATCAAACATACGTATAGGAGCAAAATATAAATCTGAACCGACAAAATTTTTCGACAAAATTTGGAAAACATATTCCTAGGCTGTATCCAAAGTCTTCTACCGAACGTCATTGCGTTTTAGAGTCTTGACTGTCAAATCGATTGTTATAGCTATATCAAACGATTTTCTTCATATTTCATGAATGAATGCTGTCGTATGTGCCTAAATCTATTCAATTTGGTCCGAAATTACGCATTTGAAACACAATATAAGTGAAATCGGGCGAAGATGTACAGGGTGAGATGAAAAAACTGCAACCAACTTCAGACGGCTGTCATTTCTAAGCCACTCAAGTGGCTATCGTTAGAGCACTCCAGAATTTAAATGTGAATAAATCTTTTGTGCCTAGTTCCATCGCTCGTTACCGTGATACTGGTAGCGTTGCCCGACGTCAAGGAAGAGGACGGAAGAAAACAGTAACATCAGCAGAAATGGTTCGAAATGTAAAGAAGAGACTTGATTGAAACCCGCGTCGTAGTGGCCGAAAAATTGCTCGTGAGTTGAACATATTGCAATATTCCATTCGGCAAATATTGAAAAATAAGCCATTGAAATTCCAAAAAGTGCAAGAACTTACACCGCAACAGAAAGAAAATTAACTCAAAAGAGCTAAAGAGTTGCTTCGCTTGGCCGAAAGTGGTGGTAAACTGCCGAATTAGGCTTTCTCCGATGAGAAAACATTCGTTGTCCAGCAGTTTGTAAACAAACAAATTGATCGTGTTTACTTGCCAAAGAGGTCAGTTCAAAATGTGCACCTTCGGTTGGCCACCAAAACTCAAACGCCGGCCGATGATAGTGTGGGCCGTCATAACAGCCGATGGTCGCTCTCCATTCGTAAAAATCGACCGTGGCATCAGAATAAATGCTGAATATTATCGCGAAAATATTTTGGAGGGTGTATTTAAACCTTGGACACGCAAACATTTTGGCCGCAGACCTTGGACATTCCAACAGGACTCAGCACGCGCCACCCAAGGATGGTTATAAAATGAGGTTCCTCGCTTAATTTCCAGCGCACAATGGCCACCAAAATATCCGGATACCAATCCGTTGAACTATTGTGTCTGGAGTATTTTGTAAAGTAAGATTGGCACTAAAAAATACCAAAGCGTCGATCACCTCAAGCAAGCGCTTCGCTGGGAATGGGCCAAAATACCGCAGATCAACATTCGGGCAGCGTCTGATGGTTTCATTGACCGTTCCCGAAATATTTTGCTATCATTCAATAAAATTAAAAAAAAATTTTAAAAATTATGGCATTTGACTTTTTTGCAGTTTTTATCTCACACTGTATATGCTTTCATTGTAGTGTGATATTGTGATACAGTTCCGCACACCAGGCTGTATCTTTTCAATCGCCCTGCCACACCTACCCATATATTTTTACAGATTATGAAGGTAGCCGAGCTTTTAAATTTGGGATTGGAACTAAAACCAGATTATTAAAACTCAACACCCAGGATGTTTTTGCTGTTATAACAACAAAAGATGTAGGAAAAGGCCTTTAAATCAGAAGAGATATCAGGAAGGATCTGAACAGTTTTCCGAGCCAATAGATTAACAAAAATTCGGAGTTACATAAAACTAAAAATATCCAAAATGCCAAAGCAAGGAGGGCATTTAAAATGTGACATAAATTGTGAAATATTTTTCATTCTTAGGGAATGGATTGTTTTAAAAAGAAATATTATCTCTCTGAAATTAATAAAACGCGAATGAAGACTGAGTAACATACCACAACTGCAGCAGTAGCAGTAGCAACAACAGAAACATGTGAGGCATTCATGTGTCACCAAACATTTAACAAAGTCATATTCAATTAACAGTGTGTTATGCAAAAACAAAACTGGGCTTTTTCTCCACATTGTGTGTACTTCTAACCAGATATCAGTCAGTGTGTCAATCTGTATATCAAACCTTTATTGCAAATGTAAATGAACATATGTGTGTACAAATGTATACAAATTGTATGTGAAAAGATTGAGTATAGCTATGTAGGTACGTATGTTCACTCTAACAACATACACACACATAGCGAACCAAAATAAATAAATCCTTTTTGCCACCTTTGTGTAATATCACATCTCTTTTGACAAGACTTTTGTGATGATGACTTTTGGACAGCTTGATGAACTGAATATTTTTCTCTGCTGTTGTCGTTGTTCGAGGCATCTGTGCCAGATTTAGATGTACATCCACATTTAGTAAATAGAATCATATAAATGATATGCAGAAAAAAAACGTTGCATATCAATTTAGAAATAGTCTATGAAGTTCTCTTTGATGGGAGGGAACGAAGTACACCGTAGCTTATAAAGCGCGATTATTGAAATTTCTTATATTAAATCTAGATATTCAACGTTCAATTGAAATCTAATAGTCACTTGGAAATAATAAGTATTTGGTTTTCTTTCATTGCAAAATCATTCGAAGACAAGAAAAATATCAAACTATAGGATACACTTGAACTTGGAACAATTAACAAGCTGTAGAAAGAAAACTAAACGAATAACCAAATTAACAATCCCTCCCTCAGTATGATGCCGGTATTAAATAAACAGAATAGAAATGTATATATCATTATATCTGTCATAGATATTAATTCTATTCTGCAGCTCCAGAAATCCCCATTGTTCCTTAAGCGTGAATTTTCTTTTCCTTGTGAGCCAGGAAAAGATGTGACTGCACCCATTTGGCTCTTAGGAGAATCCATTTATGATATTGTTGTTGTAACTGTAATATATTGCGTGTGGTGTTCAGCAAATCCACAAATTTAACAATTCAGCTACCTTTACATGTTTGAGTAGTATGCAGGCTTCTATGACATGCTGGAGAGATGTTTCGTATATTTTATTCAATTAACGCCCATTAAAAATCAAGACGGCTGGATATGGTTTGGATTCTGGGGATGACATTCAGCATCGGTGTCTGCATCATTCATTCTTTATGACGCTGGATCATTAGGTCCTTCCTTATCCACCCTATAATGGTTTAAATGACGTCCAAGCAGGCTTTTTAACTTTTGTTGTTATAACAACCAATACATGCTGGGTGTTGAGTTCTACTAATTGGTTTTAGCTCCAGCTCCAAATTTAAAACATGGCTACCTTTATAGGCTTTAGCCTATATTTGGGATTCAGTTGGGTAGGTTTCCCAGGGCAACTGAATGCATACAGCATAGTGTGCAGCCCTCTATAACATGACGGAGAGACGTTTCGCACATTTTCTTAAATTCGCACCCGATACAAATCAAGACGGTTGGATGGGGTGTGGACTTGTGGATAATCAGGATAATCAGGTTGAGTCTTCGACTAATGGGCGAGTGGATATGAGTGAAGCAGCCACATTGTGGTGCAGGGTATTATGTCTTAATGTTAAGCCTCCTCAAAATCATGATATGTACTCTATATCGTTGATATTTGGTAAGAGAATCACATGCAACAGAATTAGAGGATATCAGATATAGTGGAAGTTATTTCAGATTAAGATATAGCTGTCATATATACTAGTTCAACCTGACTTCACCTTTTAATCATCTCAAAGTTGTAATATGAACTACTAAATATGCCAAGTCGCTTTTTATATGTGTCCCTCTTAGCATTATTAATTAAGCTGGAGTGGGAGAATATATGGTCTCCCTTCTCACAAACAAAGAGTCCAGCCAAATTTCAGCAAAATTTTCTTATTTTGCTGCCAAACCCAGTCGTTTTTTAAGCTAGAAGTGTGTTGATTTTGATTCTTTTAAATATGCCAAGTCGCTTTTTATATGTGTCCCTCTTAGCATTATTAATTAAGCTGGAGTGGGAGAATATATCGTCTCCCTTCTCACAAACCAAGAGTCCAGCCAAATTTCAACTTTCAAATTTCTTATTTTGCTGCCAAACCCAGTCGTTTTATAAGCTAGAAATGTGTTGATTTTGATTCTTCACCTTCCCTTCCCCTTCCGATTGACTGTAGAACGTGTATCTAAACTGTGGTCAATGACTTATCCTTTATTGATGGGAAAACATCATCTAACCTGTTATGTGTCGCGTCTACGGAACCTTTCAAGAGTAATATTACTTTATCCACCGGGACGTGGAATATTTACTTCTTATATGTCACGTTCATATGCTTTTCTTCGTATAAATTCTGTAAATTTCTCACTAAGCTACTTTTAACGTAACCATACCCAAGCTAAACACAAGTGTTGCTCTTTGTGTTTTTTATTTATTTACAATTTGCAACGCCGCTGCCGCTACTATTGTTGCTCTTCCTTTTTTTCAACAATTTGATCAAATGATAAGATAAACTAAACAAAGTGGTTTATATAGAGTATCTCATGTGCATAGACAAGTTCATAATTGCAGTCGTTAGAGACACAAATAAAACGAACGCGATTGTTATTTAATTTGCAGCAATAACTGAAGTATGCATCTGTATACAGTATCCCGATAGGAAATTATGAAAGAGTGAAAAAAATGTTTTGCACTAGATAAGACATACCAATTTTGGCCTTGAGGATATCGAATACTCGAATGAAGCTTTTGTTTGACATAAAGTTGGCCTTAGGTTAGGTGAGGTACAATCAAAAACTGAGGTTAGGTGAGGTACAATCAGAGGCTACACGGAAAGAAACTTGTCGAAACCTTTTAACCGAACAGAGTTAAGCAGCTTGGCATCATGGCTAGGCTTATTAATGTCAAATTATAAGGAAAAACGACGGCATGATCCAAGTTCGGCCTTTGTGATATATCACAAAATATACTATGTGAAGACTTAAAGCTGCTTATGTACCCATACCTTTAATGTTCAAAAACTCAGCAAGAGGAATACTACCGTATTTGTCCCACCTATCGTGGATAGTGTGTATGGAAACTCTGCACAGAAACCAAATCGTTATTCTAGCAAGATAAAATCTTGAATCCCATGAATGTCGTTATGTGCAAAATCGGGACTTCCCCTACTACTACACGTCTTATTACAGTTGTATTGAAAAAATGTTGATGCATCAACTATTTTAGTCGGTAAAGCTCACAATTGCTAATATTTTAGATTGGGCTGAAAAATTGAGCAAATCACGTCTGCAAACCAAAAACTGATTGCTTTGTCATAGAATCAAAATGGAGAATTCTAAGCGAATATTTTAAGTAAAGATTTCTATATATAGTATATATCGTAAGGGTCAAAGAAATATTCAAAAGTTAGATGATGAACACAGGCCCATGTAGGCATTCAGATGGTAAATCTTAATCTTAAATCTTAGTGTTAGGTGTGGCTGTCAAAAAACAAGTAAACATGAAGTGTGGCATGGATGAACTTTTGGCACCCTCCATCATGAGGAAAAGAGGGCCTTTAAAATAAAAAAAACCGTGAATTCCTACGTTTTTACTATAAATTGAACCTACAATTGGTTGGGTTGTCAAATTTGATTCCGTTGAAAAAGTTTGATTTAAATCAACAAAATACCGAATATCAGGAGGCATGTTTATATGGGGGCTATAGAAAATCTTGAACTAAAGGTAAAAGGTAACCTTGTTAATCTCTTATAAGACGATAAGTCGGTTTCTGGTTAGCTAAGCGGCTCCAGTGTAGTCTGCGATACTAGTGCTGCGCAAAGGATGAGGAATAAGACCTGAAAGAATTCTGCCCGAGAACTGTAAGAGGATTTCTCCTTATCATCAATGCAATATCGACATGAGAAGGGGAATGTTATTCCCCACGTCATGCTCTCAGTGCAGTAAATGTCTGTTGGCGTGTCAGGAAGGATTTACACGAGCTAGACAGTGGGGTCAAACGTTATAAAGCAGAGCTTTTATATCAAAAATCCTATCAAACGGTTCTAAGTGGAATATCGCCATTGGAATTCACCCCACATTCATTGGTTATAAAAAACGATGATAGCCTAGTCAAACCAGTGTAGATTTGGACTACCTACGTTCAGGATAATGCAGTCGTCTCAATTGGTAGAGATCGCGAATAGTTTAATATGTGTTAAATACACAATAGACTGCATCACGACTTGAAAACATATTTTTCATTCTTTTTATATTTTTTATTAAATGTTGTTCCTTCTTTTACTTTTTGACAAATCCTACTCTTTGGTAATATTATTGCAGCAAGACACTGTAGTTTGCTTTTTGTCCGGAAACTACTATGTACATCTATTTACATTTATATACTGATAGTGTTCGAGGAAAATTTGGAATAATTTCAAGAAAAGTTAACTTTTTTGTTAGTCTCTGTGCCAGCCAGATTTGTTGTCATCCACAATTACATTTACAGATAAGATAGTTGGTATACCTAATTGAACTTGTGCCGTTTCATTTTAGATGCTAACGACATGGCATTGTCTAGTTAGGTAATCTTATGAAGCAATTATAAAGGACCACTTTAAACGTTTAATAATATGAGATTATTAATGACGTCTGTGGCACTATTTGATAAACTACTAAGGTTTATTTCCAAAGCATACAACCAATACACTTATGGAGAAGTTTTTAAAAATTTTCTATATTCTTGCAGCAAAGTAGACCTTTTTAAAGATTAAAGATTTTCAAGTCGTATCGTAATGCAGTAATACGTTTAGTTTTTAAAATTTTGCTATTTTCTTGTAGCAAAATAGTCAGACATATATGGCCTTTTTAAAGATTAAAGTTTTTCAAGACATATCGCAATGTAGTAATACGTTTTATGTTTTGATAACTTGGCAATCTATATCTAAGCGAAAAAACGTTCTACGGATCATATGTGAAAACATATTTAAGTCGACCGATTAAGCCACCACAATATTTTATAAATTAATAAGTCTAACAGATAGAGCTAAATATGGGAGAAATCAGCCACTATCGACAATCATTCCTCGTGGTCTCATCACATTCTAAACGTATCCCTAATGTTTCTATGTAACTAATTGTGACAGACAAAGAACGGGCGATTGGGCGATTTAGATATTCCCATTATTTGTCACTTTCAAGGATAGGTTTCAATAAAAGTCAAGCAATACTTGAAAGTCGTCATATTCCTGCAAACATAGAAGCAGCTGCCGAAGTTTGAGATTTCTTCGTCATGGCTACAAATCAACAACTATGAGGATTTTTATACCTGGAGCGTCATTGTTTCTTTGAGACAGACTTTACTAACAGTCAAAAGTATTTTTTATTGTTTTTATTAAACGAATCATAGAGTTAAAAAAGTAAGCAAAGGCTATAGTCGTGCGGGGCCGACTATGTTATACCCTACAACAATACATATGTTAGAAGCCCCCTTATGTCCAAATCCATATTGGAAGATTTTTCTTTTGAAATTAGGATTTTTACTAGGGACATTTGCCCAACATTAATGCACTCCGTCGGCCTGTGAGTTGTTGTAGTCCATTTTACAGCTAAATAAAATCCAATTGTCATCCAAAATGCTAGAATTCTTCCCTGTCCTTAACTCTCTTCACAGGCGTGTCGATTGGCTTCAATTGTGTGATCGGAAAAACATTTCTGTTTTTGGTTCATTTTAACCCCTAAATATTTTGCGATCATCTCCAAAAGCAAGAGGCCCATCTGAATCTCCAAATTTAGACTCATCTATATGATTAACTTGTCTACCATATTTGGCTACATTCGTCAACGAAATCAGCATAAAAAGCCAGAAGTTCGCCTTTTGTGTATTTCAGATATCGCCTGAAAGTAGTGCTGGTATTTTTTCACACAAAAATAGTGGTACATTGTACCCGCCGTCCTAAACTCTAACTTTATGCGAGATTTCGTGTCCTTTTGTTTCTATTTGTGACCTTTGGTTGTTGGTCCATTTCAACCCCCTAATATATTGTGGACATCTTTGAAAACAGTGAAAATTTTCGTGAGGATCGGACGACATTTGCAATACTTATATAACATCCCCAACCTGTGTTGTAAGGTGAAAAAAATATTACAAAATATTATAAGTCAAATTGAAAAAATCGCATGCTATAAAAAATTTGAAAAAAATAAAAATATGTCACAAAATACTACAAAATTATATTAACATCATTATTGGCATATTTTTCTGCGATTTTTTTAGATTTTATTCTTTTATGTCAAGAGGGCATTCTGAATTGACAAAATCGGTCCAGCCATTCTTGAGATTTAAGCATTCTAACTAACATACCCTTCTTTTGTATATTCACATTGTATATATTTCGCTATATATAACCGATATATTTACTATCGACATCTACGTAACGGTCAGAATTGACCTGTTCGTCTATTTCAGATTTCGGCGGGATTAAAAATATTCGCGGTTTAATGGAAAATTTTACTTTTATTTAGCACAAATGTTGTGGCATATTTCACCCACTAAATATTACCCGATGACCACCAAAATTGGAAGGCTTCTGCGCAGCCCTAAGCTCTAGCTCCATGCTAACTTCCGCTTTGATTGCAAAATCAGGAATTTTTGGTCCATTTCAACCCCTAAATATTATGCAATCATCTCCAAAAGAAATAGGGTTCTATGCTGACCCTAGCCCCATCTGTATTCTAAATTTCGTGAAGATCGGGCCATAATTGTGACCTGTGGAGTGATTACAAATTAACATGGACAGACGGACGGACGGACATACATAGCTAGATCGACTCAGCTTGGCGAGATAGGAAGATCCATTATACTTTCCTATGTGGAAAACAATATTTCCTGGTGTTACATAATTTTTGGCCCAATCAAACTTATAATACCCCCAAAACATAGTGTTGTAGGGTATAAAAAATCCAATATAGTTTCTAATCCAACCTTGAAAAGTGGATAAACAAAAAAATTACTTTTGTAAAAAATATATATCTGATGCAACCAACACTTACCTTCTTTACACCACGAAATGCATATACATATAATTCTCGGCCGAAATTGAAACATATGCGATCACCACCCAACACCTGGTTTACAGGCATACCATTCTGATCGATACCACCATTGGCACCACCGCCCACACCACCGGACCCATTCATCATGGTGTGCATTGACATGCCGGCACCCAAACGTGCATCCATTGATGAGGGTACAACATACTGGGATTGCGATGATAATACCGGTCCATTCAGTGACGATGACGATTGCAGGCCAACATCATAGGTATCACCACCATTTGCTGAACTATTATTATTGCCACCAGCTCCATTTGAAGATGTGGTCGCTGTTGATGATGATGAATTGCTTACGTTGACGTTTCGACCATTTGTACCATTTACAGGATTCGCAGAAGAGCCGGCCCCCGCCAAGGAACCACCATTACCATTACTAGCAGCGCCAGCCGGTGGATTTGGCAAGGTAACTATCGAAACTCGCACTTGTGGTGAACTCTGATTATTGGTATAGCCCACACGATTGGGTCGTGAGTACTCGGAGAGGGTAAGAAGTCGATAGGTACCCTCTCGTGTTATAAACTGTGTCTTCAGGTCATCTTTGACATTAGGATCCAGTTGCGTTGCCATTACGGCAACTTTTATTTAGAGGGGAAAAATATGATACCTAGTCCACCTTCGTACTTTTGCGACTTCTTAGGTTCTGTTGTTTTTCTCTTGTTCGCCGTCAGCAACTTTTTGTAGTTGGTTTCGATCGGTATTTGCTTGATGGGCCGTTTGGATTTGTTTTTGTTTGTGTTCAATAGATGCCTTTTTTTCTTTTCTTTCTCTTGGCCACTTCGCTATTCAAAGGGAGTTGGCTTTTACAATTTTTATTGACATATTATATTATTTTGCATTTTAGAAGCTTACTAATCTGCTTTTTATGTTTTTTTCTTTCCAGATAATTATAATTAATCTGTGATAGCAGCTAAATAGAAAAAATTGCATTTACACACACATACTTTGGCTTACGCAGCACACATTATTGAGTAGAAGTGGGGAGAAAAATCATCCATCACACAACACACACACTCACACATGACCAAAGGAATCTTGTTTTCTATATTTTGTTGTTGTTGTTTTTTCACGGGTTCCGATAAGTGGGTGTGGAGATATATAGTAAATTTTTGCGTAATTTTCCACAAAAACTCGGCTTAGAATTTTCTTCAAATTCTCTTAACACATTTCTAGTTTTGCTCTTGGGCTTGTTTTGCAATCTATTTTTACATTTTTTCACATTTATCTTGTTACTTGTCCGTCAATGAGAAAAAAAATTGATGTTTTTTTCTTCTACGTTTGACACACACTCTCGGTGTTTTTCGACTTGTTTCCAGTGCTCGTTTGTTAATAATTAACACGTATTAATTGGTTTTATTGTTAGAGGAAAACTAGGTATTGATTATTCATTGTGGATTTGCATTTTCCCGTTTTCTATTAAATTTTTAATTCTAAAATTTCTGCACTTTTTAACTTTTCTTTTTATCTCCATCAACCACATAAAAAATATATAATTGTCAATCAGCTGCAGAGTTGCCGTTGTGTCCAAAGTTTGACAAGGGTTTTCGATTGTTTACATTTTCTTGTGTACCAAATCTAATTGGATTTGTGGTATTGGAGGAAGTGTACGATCAAATTGGTATTGCCATGCTCTGTTCCATGGTCGAATGAAGGAGGTAAAGTAATGCAATCATATGTTTATCATTTTTTCAAAATTATTTATTTGACATCTCATTGTCAATATGCATATTTATAAATCCATTTTACATACACAAACCAGAGATGGGAACCTGTTTTTTATGTAGTGAAATTTGACAAGGTAAATTACAGAAAATGCAGATTTGGGTGCTTATTTGAAATTATTTTACCATCTTAATTTTAAAAATGCTATGTTCCATGGAAAAATTAAAAAGGTAAAGTCGTTTCGAATAAGCATATCCATCTTTGCATGTTCTGTATTTCTTGTCAAATTTTACTACATAGAAAATAGGCTCCCATCCCGGATTTGTGTATATTTCGATTTGTAAATATGCATTTTGAAAATAAGATGTTGTCAAGAGAATAATTAAAAAAAATGACATATGATTGTAATTCTACCATGTTTTTACGCGAAATATATATATATATATAGAGCTGAATCCCATCTTTACGTCAGATTTTGTGTATACAGACGTGCTGGGATGTGCAAAGTTTTGAGAGGTTTATGAGTGTACAACACCTCCACCCGTTTTGGTTGAGGCGCAAGAAGGATCCGTTTTTCATACCAAATTTCGTATTGGTAGAAATATTGGGATGTGTGAAATTTGAAGAAAATTCTCTCTCTACTTTTTATATGATTATTCAAATGTTGGGGAGAAACCAGAAGCATGTGTCCCATCTCCACAAATATTAGTAGTTATTTTGAAACATGGTACAATAAAAAGGTACGGTAGATATACCAGCTGATTACAATTTTTCTTCTAAGTGTACCCGACTTCTGCCAATTTTGTGTATGTATATTTTGGTTGGTTTTCAAAATCAATGACCCAAAAAAATGTTGTGTTGTTTTTATCAGAATAAAAACACCGACTTTCGGTAAGAATTTTCAACTTATGTCACATATTTTGGGCGAATTATGATTGGTGGCGGCTACGTAATACCTTTAACCATTCTGAATATTTGCAAAAATTTATTAATTATTTGAATGTTTTATAAATGTAAATAAACAAGTCTTGTCATGGTAGAAGAATATAGGTAGACGCATCGACACAGCTGATGCGACAATGAACTGTCAAACCAATTCTGGAATTGAAAGGGTTGAATAAAAATTCTTGTTAAAATTAAGAAGATAAAGTCTTTTCAGATAAGCACTCCCAGCTCTGCATTTTCTGTAATTTACCTTGTCGAAATACATGTCATTGAAAACAGGTTCCCATCTCTGATTTGTATGTATACAATGGATTTATCAATGAAAATTTTGACAATGAAATGTTGTCAATTGAAATAAATTGTTGAAAAACCCATATTATAATAATCTCCGAATGACGTCGTATAAGAAAATATAATATATATCAATGTTCCCAATTGTTGAAGCATCTACCTGCATTCTTCTACCATGAGTCTCGTTTTTGTTGTGACAGTTCATATGAACGATTGTATTTGACAAGCTCATTTACAGAAAATGCAAAGATGGGAATGCTTATTTGAAATAACTTTACCTTCTTGATTCTACCATGTTTAAACCTTTAACTAAAAGTTAAATTAATTTATCTGTTCCCGAACCTGTGGGAATCTACAAGTTTTGTAATTTTTTCCTTCATAATGGGAAAATCGCCAAAAACTTTTATATTCTCACAGTTCTGGAACAGAACAGTTGTTTGCAATTTTTTACAATTGTACAAATTATTTTATATATTACTCTGATCGTATGCATTCGGGACGTTTTATGTAAAAACTGAAAAATTAAAACTTTGACATCTAGGTCAATCATTTGATTTTTCAGTTCTGTTCCTTTACGTGAAATAATGTTTTACTCGAAATGTGTTACTTTCTAAACATAGGTCAAAGAGAGCCTTGTTTACACAAAAGTAACAAAACACTTGTGCACATTTAAACGCCAGGCTATTTTATCAAATACGAGTAAGAAGTAAAATCAATATTATAAACAACACCGTGTACCTGAGTATTCCCCTTTACAACTTTGCCCATGTCACAATGAAATAAAGGTAACCTCATTTCAAATTAGCATTCCCACCTCTGCATTTTCTGTAATTCAATACATGAAAAACAGTTCCCATTTCTTATTTCGTGTGTATACAACGGATTTATGAATATAAATTTTGACAAAGAGATGTCAAATATATACATTTAAAGAAATTGTAAACATATGATTACATAACTTGAACTTCTTAGTTCTACTCATAGCAGAAGAATACAGGTAGATGCATCAATGCTTGGGAGCATTGACATGTCAAAAATTGTTAAATGTTTTTTCAAATATAAGTAGATTTTTATATGTTTTCTTATACGACGTTATTCGGAGATTATTATAATTCGTGTTTTTCAACAATTTTTACAAATTTAAATAATTTTTCATTTAATATTTTCAATTCCAAAATTGGTTTGACAGTTCATTGTCCCAGCAGCTGTGTCGATGCGTCTACCTTTACTCTTCTACCATGTATTTACCTATAATCTTTCAGGTTTTGTGACATAACTTCATTTTCTTACCCTGTGTAAATGCTTGGTAAAATCTAATCAGCTGAGCTACAATTTTTACCACTACATTTTTATCAGTGTATACAAATGACATTTGACGTTTAGTCTTTTTTTTTGCTCCACTTTGACGTTTGTTTTTTTTCTCGGTGGTTGTTTATATAGTAAAAAAATTCGGTAATAAGAGGATTGGTCAAATCGTTGCAGAAAAAAATAATTTGCGAAGAAAAAATCAAATAATTAATCAATAACCACTTAGCAATTAAACTGAAAGAATTAATCAATAAAGGAATCGATCCATTTGCTATCTATAAATAAACCAATCATATCGGAGGAGGTACGTTTGATGGAGCGATTGAAATTTTCATATTTCTGAATCATCGGGCCTTAGGAAAGTTACTACTACTGCTATCCTTTCTTCATTGTCGTGTGGATTTTAATGGATTCCTTGTATATAGTGTGAAATTATTATAAGCAATATACATATTAAAAACTAGTAAGTCTTCATCAAGTTAAGGAAAATACAATTGCCTAAGATATTGATGTACATTTTGTTATACTATATGTTAATTTTTCCTTTTTTGCACTTTGTATTTATTTTATGTATTTTCAATTTTTATTTGTATTTTGTTGTTGTAAGTTAATGTTCTAAAGCTTAAGAAAGGGCTTATTATAGAAGAGGTCATGGTAGTATAGTAGCTAGCATAAAACGCAGACCCTTTTTGCGATTACATGCGACATTTGAATACATAAAAGTTTTTCTAAAATTCGCAAAATAATTTCGTAGTTCCTTCATTTACTGGTAAAGCAGTTTTTTTTTGTTGTCGTATGGTTTCCCACTTACCTTGGCCGTTTCTGCTTCAAGGCATTAATTAAAATGCGACAATCTAAAAATAGATTCGTCCTGCGCCACATTTATTTTTCAATAATATGCGACTGCCTTCGACCTGATTTGAAAGATGACCAAAGCAAAACTTTTTATCCATCTAGAGAAAATATTCTTCTCGAAAAAAATATGGATTTAAATGTTTTCTAAGGAAAAGGGATCCAATAAAATTGAATAGATATACCTGGAACATACAGGGTGATATAAAAAAACTGCAACAAAGTCAAACGTCATAATTTTTACACCTTTTTTTTAAATTTATTGAATGCAAGCAAAAAATGTCGGAAATAGCATCAAATTTTAGAATATGTTTAGATTTGTTCGTATACGCTGCCCGAATGTTGCTCTGTGGTATTTTGGCCCATTCCCGGCGAAGCGCTTGCTTGCGGCGATCGACACCTGGGTATTTTTTAGTGCCAACCTGGCTTTCCAAAATACTCTAGACACAATAGTCCAACGTCGCATAATAGTCGCCATAATATTTGGCATTTATTCTGATGCCACGGTCGATTAATATGAGCGGAGGGTGACCATTGGCTGTTATGGCGGTCGAAGCCATCACCATGGACGGCGCTTGAGTTCTGGTGGCAAACCGAAGGTGCACATTTTCAGCTGACTTCTTTGGCAAGTAAACACGATCATTTGTTTGTTTACAAACTGCTGGGCAACGAATGCGAAGCAACTCTTTACCTCTTTTGAGTGTATTTTCTTTCTGTTGCGGTGTAAGTTCTTGCACTTTTTGGAATTTTAATGGCTTTACCCTGAGCTCATTTTTCAATATTTGCCGAATGCCTTTTGAAAGTTGGTTGCATTTTTTTCATCTCACCCTATATATCTTCATCCGATACCAAGTTTATTGTGCATCAAATGGTTAATATAAACCCCTCGAACTCAATAGATGTTGACATATGCGACTGAACTCAGCTTGGAAAAAATTGTGTCAAATTTGGTAAAAATCGGTTGAGATGTAGCTATAGATCCCATATATATTTTTCATCCGATTTGCTATTTTTGGTTTTTGATGTCATTGATATCTAATATTCGTTGTCATCCATCACATATAGCATAGAAATACTTCTGCTAATTTTTTATACCCTCCACCATAGCAAGGAGGATATATTAAGTTTGTCATTCCGTTTTTAACACCTCGAAATATAAATTTTAGACCCCACATAAAATTCTATGTCGACTTAGCGATGTCTGTCCGTCTGTGGAAATCACTCTAGCTTCTGAACGAAATGAAATAGATTGATAAAATTTTATTCAAATGTATATTATGTCTGCGGGACTTTTGGTATTGAAAATTGGCCATATAGGTCCACGTTTTGGTATAGCACCCATACATTATTCATTATTCACCGGAATTGTTTCAAGTTTGGTGTTTGAAGGTTGTAATGGATACTACAGCCTAAATTGTCCGTGCAGGACCACGTCTTCGTATAGCCCCCATATAACGGCACCTCCCCATATTCGGTATTTTAATGATTATAGCGGCATTATTCACCGGAATTATTTAAAATTTGATATTTGAAATTCGTTATCGATACTACAGGCTATGACGGAAAATTGTCATTGCAGGTCCACGTTTTGGTATAGCCCCCATATAACGCCCTATATTCGGTATTTTCATGATTTTAGCTTATTATTCACGGAACTTTTTTTCAAGTTTCGCATTTGAATATTGTAGTGGCATTTGACATTACATGTGTACCTATGCATGTTCACGTCTTCGTATATACCCTAATATAACGGCTACATTCGGTATTTTTATGATTTTGTCAGAATTTTATTAATTTTTACTTGTTTTAGAGATCCATTCAGAATTGGGTATGTCTCCCATATATTTTTCATCTGATTTCATGTTTATTGGGCACCGATGATTATGATTAGATATAGCTAAACTCCCAAATATATTTTTTAAATTCATAAATTTCTCAAAGTAGAGAGATCTTAAAATAGTATTTGGATTTATAGCGAAAAGGAAAAACACTATATGTCTTTCATGTAAAAAAAGGGATCTTAAAAACATGACCATGACCGAGGGGTTTATACATAGATATTGATTAATATTTTTTAACCTATTTATATTCTTTATAATTAAGAGTTTATTTTATTTGGTTTGGTGTTATTAATTATTAATAATATCTGTTTAGTTTTTTTTTTATTTTTCTAATAAAGAAAATTCTAAAATTTACTTTTGTTTTTTATTTCCGTTTTTTTTTTCTTGGTGGCTATGTATGTATACTTTTTTTGTAATGCCTTTGCAAATGCTTTTAATTCGAGTCTTTTGTACAGCATATTTGGTAAAATTGCACAATAGATATTTTGCACCTGCGGGAGCACTTTTTTTTTGATTGAAAAGCTCTTTGAAAAATTTAAGCAAATATGCTCCTTTTGGTTTCCTTGTTACTGCTTAACTTTTTTGCTTCCCAAAAAATGCGCAAAAATCATAAAATTGATAGATATAGGAATACATAACTTATTCAGGTACTTCTTATGTTCCAAGCACGATTTATTTTGTTTTTATTTGCTTCTTTCCCCCCACTTTTAGATGCATTCGTTGGTGGTTCTTTGTTTGAGATTTTCATTTCAATGTGCATAAATAATTGTGAAAATGTTAATCCATTATTATATTCTTAATTCAATACAGATCCGTATACATAGTTAAGTACCAAAAAAAAAAAAAAAATAAAATAAAACCCCTTGCTAGAATTCGCTATAAAATTGGCCAAGAGAATTAAAAAAAGAGACATTCATTCAAAAATGGAGGACAGAAAATCATCAAGATCCGAATCGAAATCGCGTACATCATCGAGCAAATCATCCAAATTATATTCTAGCAAGTATGGCGAACGTAGCAATAGCCGTGAAAGTTCTATGGCCATGCAAAAATATAACCCCAATATGCGTTTCATACGCAAAAGTGTGGAAACGCCCGCACGCAATGTTACCACAAACTATTTGGAATTGGAAACAGAGTTTCCTCGAGATTACGATGACAACATTGAAATGTTATCGCGTGAAGCTGAACATTTGGAGGAACAGTTTCGTACACCCACACGTACCAGCAATACAGATTTAACGGGTGTTGAAATTATAAGGCCAGTGACACCAACACCGACGCGTATTGTCAGACCAGAGGGTGTTGAATTGAAACTACGAGAATCTCCCAGTACACCGGAAAAAGAATCGAAATCAACGCGCGGTGTAAAACACTCGAAACGTGTAGGGTTTAAGGTTGAAGAGAAGCTGGAGGAACAAGTTGCTGAATGTAGTGTAGTGGCAAAAGGTACCTCGAAATTGTCACGTGTTGAAGATGGTGGCGCCAAAGATGTGGGCCCGGAGGAGCGAGAAAAACAAAAATCGAAGGAAAAATCCCAAGATGAGCAACAACAAACCAAGGAAAAGGAAGGGGGAGTAGAAGAAGAAGAAAAGGGGCAAGAGCTAAAATCGGAAACATCCACTACCACAACAGATGGACCCTCAGAGACCACAGTCGCTGATGCTGAAAGTCCCCAAACAGATTCACAGAAAAATAATCTACAAATACCAAAAATAGCCACAACAACAACAACATCGTCAAGTGCTCCCGCTACCCCTGTGCCGGTCTCAACATCAACCACATCCACAATTTCAACAAAGGATGATGACGATGAGCCGGTGGCCATGTCACCTTGTGGTCGTTTCTTTAAATACGACAAAGAAGTGGGTCGTGGAAGTTTCAAGACAGTCTACCGTGGCCTGGACACTGAGACTGGTGTGGCTGTGGCCTGGTGTGAATTGCTCGACAAACAGGTGAAGAAAAGCGAAAGGAAACGTTTTCGCGAAGAGGCCGATATGTTGAAGAAGCTACAACACCCCAATATCGTACGTTTCTATACCTATTGGGAGTTTAGTGTTGCCCGCAAGAAAAATATCGTTTTGGTCACAGAGCTAATGCTTTCTGGCACCCTGAAGTCCTATTTGAAACGTTTCAAGAAAATCAATCCCAAAGTCTTGAAGTCATGGTGTCGTCAAATACTCAAGGGTCTGCATTTTCTGCATACCCGACCCCTGCCCATTATACATCGTGACTTGAAGTGTGACAACATTTTCATAACCGGCACCACGGGCAGTGTAAAAATCGGTGATCTGGGTCTGGCCACTTTGAAGAATCGTTCACATGCCAAATCGGTAATTGGCACGCCGGAATTTATGGCACCCGAAATGTATGAGGAACATTATGACGAATCAGTGGATGTGTATGCCTTTGGCATGTGCATGTTGGAAATGGCTGTCTCCGAATATCCCTATAGTGAGTGTAAGGGTCCGGCCCAGATTTATAAGAAGGTTATATCCGGTATCAAACCGGCGGCCTTAACCAAGGTGGAAGATCCCAAGGTAAGGGAGATTATTGAGAAGTGCATAGAACTCAAAAAGGAGGATCGTCCGAAATGCAAGGATCTGCTAAATTCTGAGTTTTTTGAAGAGGACATTGGCATTCGAGTGGAACCCACCTCCACTGAGGCCTTTTTAGAAAATCCCAACAATAATGTCATCGAATTTCGTCTACGGTTCCTAGATCCGAAAAAACGCTCCTCGAAACACAAAGAAAACGAGGCCATACAATTCGAATACGATGTGGTCAACGACGATTGTGAACGTGTCTGTGATGATATGATGCAGGAGAACCTGATTACTGAAGAAGATGCCCGAGCCATTGTGCGTTTATTGAAGGTGCAAGTATTTTCGCTGCTCAAAGAACGGGTCCAACGTCAAACTCAGTTCCAGTTGCAAAATGAAAAATCCCGTTTGGAGAAAATTGCTCTGCAGAAACAACGTGAAATGTTGCCGGAAAATGTGGAAGAAGAAGAGGAAGAAGATGAAGTGGACTCGGAGGAAGATGAGGATGGCACCAAGGCTAGTCAAAAGCAATCGAATCATATGCATACGGGAACGGGAACGTCACAGCTTATTGGGGATCAACAGCAACCTCAGTTGCCACTGAATGATCCAAACCGACCTCAAACTTATTTACAATTCCAATCGACACCCATATCTTCGTCTGGGTCACAGGAGGATCAGATAACATCACCCACCACAAATACGGCACCCACAACACAGCCGCAATTTTATAATTCTAGTCAAATTTCATTGGCCAATTCTTTAAATGCCATATTACAACCGGCCAGTCAGCCGGGTCAGAGCTATTCCCAACCACAGGTACAACAACAACAAATGACCTTTACAGCTGCTGGACAAAGCAATGCGGCTGAAATGGTGGTTCAACAAAACCAGCAACCATCACAAATGGATTTTGTGACACAACAACAGCAACAACAACAACCACAGGTGACTCAACAGCAGCCATCACAAGCTCAAGTGGAATATTTAAGCCAACAAAGTGCACAGTTGGTGCAACAACAACCACAAGGACAAATTGAATACGTCACTCAACAGCAACCCCAACAGGGGCAGTTGGAATTTATAACCCAACCACAACAGCAACAACAAATTGAATATATGACACAGCAACAACAACAACAACCCACAATAGAATATGTCCCCCAACCAACGCCTCCAGTGCAAATGCAGCAAACCCAGCCGGAGTTTATACCCCAACAACAGCAACAAACTCCTCCCATACAAACACAACAAACCCAACCCGAGTTTGTATCTCAACAGCAACAAACTCCACCCATACAAACACATCAAACCCAACCGGAGTTTGTGTCACAACATCAAACTCCCCCGATACAGGCACATCAAACCCAACCTGATTTTCTCCACCCACAACAACAACAACCACAAGCTATACAACAACAAAATCAAATTAACCGGGAATATGTTGCCCCGCAACAGCCACAGCAAACTCAAGTGGAATTTATTCCACAGGTTGAGTTTATAGCCCAACAAGCTCCAACAATGCAACAAGTTCAGGTTCAACAGCAACATCAAACGCCGATTGAATATGTAGCTCAGCAGCAACAGCAGCCACAGCATACAACACCACCAGCTCAGACCCAACAAGTTGCACAGCCTGAGTTCGTTTCGAACCAACAGACAACACAACATGTTGGTCAAACTGAGTTCATTAGCAATCAAACTGTCTCGCAACAAAATCAAATGGTTAGCCAGCCGCAATCGCAACAAAATACTTACATCGCTCAAACCCAACTTGAATTCATACCACAACAACAGCAGCAGCAACAACAACAACAGCCCCAAATACAACATGATTTTGTTGCTATCCAAACTCCACCGGCCCAGCAGACGCCACAGCAACAAGTCCAGCCTGATTTTCAAACACCTAGCCAGCAGGCAAGCCAACTTGGTCAAGTGGAATATATGAGTCAACAAAGCCAGGTTCCACAGCAGCAACAGCAACAACAACAATCTCAAATGCCTCAAGTGGAGTATGTAAGCCAACAACAGCAACAACAACTCCCTCCACAAATGGAATATATAACGCAGCAAAGTCCAGCTCCGCAGCCACAGCAACAACAAACACCACAGGTTACCCAGCTGGAATATATAACCCAGCAAAGTCCTGTCCCTCAACAACAACAACATGCTACCCAAATGGAATATATAAGCCAACAAAGTCCTGCAACACAGCAGCAATCACAACTTTCCCAACAGGTGGAATACATAACCCAGCAAACTCCGGCGTCACAGATCTCTCAAGTGGAATATGTTGGCCAGCAAACTCAAGCTTCACAGCAGCAACAACAACAACAGGTTCAACAAACATTGCCTACCCAAATCGATTTCAGTGGTCAACAGGCACTGCCAACAGCCCAGCAACAACCGCAATTGGAATATGTCCAACAAAATCAAACACAATCCATGCAAATGGGAGTTACACCTGCTCCGACCACCTCTGCGGGACAATTTATTATGAATGGCCAAACGCAATACATCCCATATGACTCACAGCAACAACAACAACAATCGCCAGCCCAACAACAGCAACAGCAAATATTTCAACAACAAAATATTCAATCCTCTCAAAACCTCCCAGAGACCTCTGTTGTTGACTCTCCGGTTTCGGGTGGCCAGCCACCACAGACAACATTTACAGAGGCCATAAACAATGGAATGCCAGCCCTCAATGTAACCAACTCAACGGATTCCAAATTGAATGCAATTTCCAATGGTGTTTTGGAAAATCAAGAAACTCTTAACAACTCCACCACCACCGCGGGTCAGGTGACCAATAGCCAATACAATGAAGTTGCCACCCAAGCACTTCCCCCCAACACCATTGCCCCCGAATCGTCGACAAACAGTTATCAAGAGAATGCCAACAATTCGGATTCCACATCCCGTAAGACCAGTACCGCTTCGGAATACACCACAATCACATCGGATTACTCACCGGAAAACACCATTACCCCCAATTCGGTGTTTCCACCACGCTCACAGTATGTCGATTTCCTGCAAAATGAATATCCCAATGTGAATATCATCAAGGACTCGTTGCAGGACATTAAAAAGGAGGATTTGGGCAATATCAGCAGTGATGAGTGTACCACAGAAAATTCCTCACCGCCCTATGATTTCAGGGGTTCCATACCGAACAATTCAAATACCCCGGAAAATAGTATGGCAGTGCGTAAAATTTCCCGGTTCTTTGTAAATCCGGTGGTCTTGCCGAACACCAATGCCGCAGAGGATAGTAATTCGTTGGGGGAGTCGAAGGGTACAACACAAATTGAACAGCAGCAGCAGAGTGGTTCCAAGGCTGGTACAGGTTCCGCAACGGCTTCTGTGCCTCTCTATGTCACTCCATCGGGAGAGGAGGCAAGTAATGCTGTCATGGCTGCCACCAATGGTAATACGAATCATTCGTTGGAACAATTGAAAATTGAGTTGGAAAATATAACCCATGCCCAGGCCTTTGCCTCGGCCATTGTGGCTTCAATCAACAATGAACATCAGCAGCAACAACAACCACCACAGCAGCAGCAATTGGCACCACTGCTACAACAACAACAGCTACATGTGCAGGGAGATGATGATACGCCCACGGGCCCGCTCAGCTCCACACGTAGCTCTTCCACTTTCAATTCCAGGCGTACCTCTTTGGACAACAGTGGCTGCAATGACATACAGAATACAATGCCCATATTACAGCAGCAACAACAACCATCTCAGCTCTTGCCCCAACAACAGCAACAACAATTTTCAGAATTCCCCTTACAAACTGCCGGTGTTGAGCCCATTGTCAATATTTTCGAACACATGGAGCTGCATCAAAAACTCTCCAAACAAAATAGTTTGGAGACACCCCAACTACCACCCCTCTCCGGTGGCAGTGTTGACTCCACCATTACCACCAACACCAATACCCAACGGGTGTGTGGTCTAAGCCAAACTAGTATTGCAGATTTAGAGAAAAAATTGGCTGCCCTAAGGAATGTTGAGATGACCGATGAGGTCTTTCACGAACAGCAGAGAACTGAACAGGAGCTGAATGCCCGCAAGGTATCGCGTTTTTGTGTAAGCCGGGTACAAGAGCAGCAAGCTGCCGAACAGCAGCAATTACAACAACAACAACAACAGCTATTACAAGAACAACAGGATACCACACCCACACAGGAACAGCCATTTGTGGTGCCGGTCACAGTGGCCATTCTAAGGCCCACAATTGATTTACAGGCCGCCAATAGTACAGCCAATAATAGCTATAATACACCCACGGAGCTGTTATCGCCCTCATCGCTAAACTATCAGCCTTTGGGCTCGACAGTGGGAATACAAAAACCAGCCACGGCAGGGGCTGCCGCCGCTGTTGTTGTGCCTTTGCATGCCCCCACTGCGGCTCCAGTCTATAACATGGAACCGGCGGCCCAGTTGCAGCAACAATTGCAACAGCAGATACAACAACAAATACAGCGATCCAATGCCATACAAGCTGATTTGCAGCTACAACAACAACAATTGCAACAACAACAACAGCAGCAGCAACAATTGTTCAATCAAACAATGGCCAATGTTGTCAGTCAACAAACGACGGCGGCAGGTCAAACAAATCAACAGTCCCAACAACAGCAGCAGCAGCAATCCCAACTCCAACAACAGCCGCAGCAGCAACAACAACAACAACAGTTAGCCCCAACCACACAAATACCTTTGCCATTTGTTACACCCATTCAGCAACAACCAACAGCTCTTCATCCCTATCCCTATATACCACAAGATCTGGTCGAATCGGCCGGGCGCCTAGCCCTGGCCCAGGAAGAACCCATGTCACTGGCCGCCACTCATCCCAATCTCTTGCCCACGGTTATACAATCGGATATCAAACACAACCTCGATTCACTGGTCAGTCAATTGTGCAGCACCCGTTTGGGAGCGACACAACATCAACGCCTACTCTTGCTACGTCAACGGCAACTTATCGAAGAGGATGAACTGCGTCTGAAACACTATGTGGAATATGAAAAATTCCAAAAGGCCATGCGTCAGACGCCCTCCATCGATATGGTGCACACTCAACAGCCCATGCTCTATATACAGCCAACGACCATAAATCAGCAAGGTTATATAAATCTAACCAGTGGTTTCATGCCTTCGCCTTTTGGACCAGGTGCGGGCGGCATCGGTGGTTCGGGCGGACATGGATATCCGCATCATTTTCAGCAACAACATTCAATGTTTAATACCAATGTTCAGACGACGGCTGCAATGTCGGGTTATGCCGTAATGTTAAATCCACAATTGGCCATGCAACAGCAGCAACAACAACAACAACAGCAGCAGCAGCAGCAACCACAAAGCTTGCCCTCACAATATACCATTGTAACAAATATGGCTGCTGCGGGAGTGCAACAGCAGCAGCCGCAACTGGCCCTGCAACATCAGCCCCAGCCACAAATGGGTAAACAGCAGCAGCAACAAACCACACTTGGCCCAGCCGCTGGCGTCCAATCGCAATTTCCCCAATCCCTGGCATTTGGACAAGACTAGGAACGGCTTAAACAAGATGTTAATGTGGATGTATGTGGCTTACCATTCTTTTGCTGGAAAGGCAATTGGAATCGAAATCAAATGTAAATCTCTTTGAAGAAATCACCCACGTGGAATGAAAGCAGATGAGACATTGCCTAAGTCCCTGATAAAATCAGATGCCCATGGCTATAACAGAAAAAAAAGCTGAATGAATATGAAACGTTTAAAACATCCCATTAACCTCTTGTTTTGTTGGATTTGAATACCCGAAGAAATTACACACACCTACAAACATACATACATATATATGTAGTACAACTCGTATTTGAACGTAAATCCCTTAAACTTCCACACGAACTACCTGCGATCGCATAGAAAAAAGGTAATCTATATTCAAATATAATACGATTCACATTTCAAAAAAAAAAAAACGTCATAAACATTATAGGATAGCAAAATCACCATTATTGTTTTAGGCTTAGATGAAAGCGGGGAGATATTGACTGAAAATAAGGTTGAAATGTTGTTGAAATGGGAATACTTTCCAGGCAAGAATTTTTCAGCAATTTTTTTTTTCGTGGAGAGTGAGATAAACACATAGAAGCTGATTTTTCAAAACCAGAGCACAGATTTGCTCGTTTTTGCTTGGGAGTGAAACTTGCTCGTGAACGGGAGTGCTTGAAGAGTACGAGTTTCATAAAAAAGTTTATAAATAGATATACAACAACGTTATAATAAAAACAAGTAAGCAAAGGCTACAGTCGAGCGGGGCCGACCGTTGAATACCCTATTGGTAGATGTTGCACGTACATGGTCTTCTAGATCTGGAACCAATATTTCCCAAAGACCTATAATCTCTCAGAAGTGGCAAAAGATTAACATTTATTATTGGTTTTTGACTGAAACGCATCTATATGAGATACAGCCATTTGACTATATTCTTCAACGAAATCAGCGTTAACGAAATAGTCAGAAGTGCGTATTTCCTGTATTTGTGAATTCTCCAAAAAGTCACTGGAATGGACATTTTCGTATTTTGTCTATAAAAGTTGGCAATCTCCTTCACACATTGAATATTTTTGGATGGCCATCCAAAACTGCTTCCCTTTTGCAATGTCCGGTAACCCCCATAATTACGACCTGCTGACAATTTTGCAGTTTTGTGGTCCATTCCAACCCCTAAATATATGGCGATCATCTCCAAAAAGAATAGGCTTTTATTCTGACCCTCATCTTATCTCCATGCAAAATTTCGTAAGGATCGGGCCATAAATGCGATCTGTATGTGATATCCTGATATCGTAACTACTTAGTTTTGTTTGCTGTAGAAATATTACCAAATGTTTAATTCAAAATGAAAATATGCCAAAAATATGACAAAATTGAAAAATATGAGAAAATGTTACAAAATCAATATTTTCATCTATAGAGAAATATTTTTATGCGATTTTTTTAGACGTTTTTTCTTTCCTGCCAAGAGGCCATTCTGAATTAATGAGAACTGTCGAAATCAGTTCAGCCGTTCTCGACATATAAGAGATTTTTCAAGCATATCTTCTTTGATAAACATATATATCGCACATATTTTGCTATATATCCGTTTTGTTGGATGTTAACATCAATGTAAAGATCAGAAGTAACCTTGTCATGGCTTTGTGATTTCGCCGGGATTTAAAATATTCGCGGTTTAATGAAAAATTTTGAATTTTTTTCAACAAAAAATATATGGTATATTTTACCCGCTAATTATTATCCGATGACCACCCAAATGGGTAGGCTTCTTGCCAGCCCTAAACTCTAGCTACATGCGAAATTCCGCGTCGATTGGTCTATAATTGCGACCTGTAGATCAAGTGCAAAATAAGGGATTTTTTCAGTTTTTGGTCCATTTAAAGCCCTAAATATTATGCGATCATCACCAAAAGAAATAGGCTTCTATTCTGACCCTAGCCCCACCTCCATTTTAAATTTTGTGAAGATCGGACCATAATTGCGACCTGTAGAGTGATTACAAATTAACATGGACAGACGGACAGACGGACGGACGGACATACATAGCTAGATCGACTCAGCTCGGCGAGATAGGAAGATCCATATATACTTTCCTATGTGGGAAATCAATATTTCGAGGTGTTACATAATTTTTGGCCCAATCAAACTTATAATACCCCCAACACATAGTGTTGTAGGGTATAATCAAAAGTGTGCTCGACAAGAGTAGAATCTGCTCGAATTTGAACGAATTTAGCTCCCACTCAAAAACGAAGAAAATATGCTCACTCATATTCGAGCATTGAAAATTTTTTTTCGATTTTTTTCTGCTCTCTGTGAGCTCGATGTCTAGTGAGTTTAACTCTTTGAACAAATTCGAGCGAGTTTTTCGGCGGTCTGGTTTAAATGATATATACCCTCTATAGCCATTAGGATGAGGGTAAAAATACATAATAATTTATGTCAAACCATTATTGCAGTGTACTCTTCCTTCTTTTGGTTTTAACAAAAGTATAAGAGTAAGAGCGTATAAAAAAGATTATATCATAAGGGTACGACATTGACGAAATCTATATGCGTCCTAGTTCAAAGTTGAGCTGAGCCTATAAGTCAAACAAATTCAAAATTACTGAGAATTTCGAAAAATTTCGTATAAGACTCACGAGCTTTGCCCGCATAAAATGCCAAACAATTTCGAAATTATTTTGGATTTTCCCAGAAATTTTACAATTACCGAAAAATTACACTTTGCAACACAAAACATAATTACGGGGAAAATTCAGCAGATTATGAAAGTAGAGCTAACAAAAGAAGACACGTGTTCGATGTGTTGAAAGTTTACATCGAAATGTAACCCAAATTGAGGAGGCAATTTCCTCCCTCTTCTTCCTCGGAATCTGTACATTTTAGGTATATAGTGTCTTCGGCAATATTGCAGATAAAAATACGACAAATATTCCGACAGAAAAAGTCAAACACTAAAGGAATTAACAAAGGTAACTTTTGTGTTCTTTGTTTAAATACCTTTTAAAACCTTCTTTTAAATGTCAAAATATTCTTCAAAATTATTTGTATAAAAAACAACTATAGGTCCGGGAAAACGTCAAGAGTCTAAATCTTATCATTAGGAATTCATATATAGGGTGAGATAAAAAAAGCTGCAACAAAGTCAAACGCCATAATTTTTACATTTTTTTTAAATTTTATTGAAATTTAAAATAAGTTTAGATTTGTTCGAATTGGTCACCTTTGGCACGAATTATGGTCTTCATACGGCCAATGGAACCGTCACACGCTGCCCGAATGTTGCTCTGCGGTATTTTGGCTCATTTTCGGCGAAGCGTTTGCTTGATGTTATCGACACTTTCGTATTTTTTAGTGCCAACCTTGCTTTCCAAAATACTCCAGGCACAATAGTCCAACAGATTGGTATCCGGAGATTTTGGTGGCCAGTGTGCGCTGGAAATGAGGTGAGGAATCTCATTTTGTAACCATTCGATAATATTCGGCATTTATTCTGATGCCATGGTCGATTAATACGGGCGGAGAGTGACCATCGGCTGTTATGGCGGCCCACTCCATCACCATGGCTGTCGCTTAAGTTCTCGTGGCCAACCGAAGGTGCACATTTTCAGCTGACCTCTTTAGCAAGTAAACACGATCATTTTGTTTGTTTACAAACTGCTAGACAACGAATGTTTTTTCATCGGAGAAAACCAAATTCGGCAGTTCACCACTTTCGGCCAAGCTCGTTTGAGTCTAGTTTCTTTCTGTTGCGGTGTGTTCTTGCACTTTTTGGAATTTCAATGGCTCCACCCCGAGCTCATTTTTCAATATTTGCCGAATGGAATATTACGATATATTCAGCTCATGAGCCATTTTTTGCCACTGCGACGCGGGTTTTGATCAAGTCGCTTCTTTACTTTTCGAACTATTTCTGCTGATGTTGCTGTTTTTTTCCGTACACTTCCTTGTCGTTGGGCTACACTACCAAGCTACTAGTATCACGGTAACGAGCGATGGTACGAGACTCAAAAGATTTATTCACATTTTAATGCTGGAGTGTTCTAATGATAGCAACTTGTGGTTTTTCAGCTCTATTTGGTTACATTTCGATGTCAATTTTAAAACGCCTAAACACGTGTCTTATTTTGTAGCTCAAAATGTTAAAGCCATGCAAACAATTTTTTCAAAATTATTTGTTCGACAACATCTCATTGTCAAAATAAATACACATTTTGACAATGAAATGTTTTCAATCCATTTGTAAATACACAAATCTGAGAAACAGAAACAGAAAATGCAGAGATGGGTATGCTTGTTTGAAATGACTTTACCTTCTTAATTTTAGACTTTTTCATAAAAATTCCAAGGTTTTCTCTGAATTTTGACCGATATTCGTATAAAATTCCAGTGTTGTTTTTTGGAATTTCCTTTGACAATACTTTCCGATATTAGAGGAGACTGCCATACAGCATTTGTGTCTGTTTTGTATCCAAATCCGATATCTTTGGGAAGATTGTGTAGAGATTATGACTGAATTCGGAAAGATCTGGAAAATGACAGGTTGGCCAAATTGGAAAATCACAACTCAGAAGATATTCAAAATAGCAAATTCCACAAATGTTTATTTAATAATTTTTTGTAATTTTTAATTTAATAGAAAATCGTGGAAAATGAATTAAGGTTCCGGGTTTTTCCTAATATCATGTTTCTAATATCATAAGCATTTAGTTTCATCCGAAAATCCAAAAATTCATTCGCCTTCAAGGTTCTAAATGTGAATTTAAATTACAACATAATTGGAAATTATTGGAAATAATTAAATAAATTATTAATAATTATGGGATGATTTATTTATTCCTTTAATTATTGAGTTTTCTCAGCGCCACAATCTTGCCCAAAAATGCGTACAAAGAATTTGTAAATTACAAAATATTCATAAATTTTGATATTTTTAAAATTGGTAATCCCGTTCTGGCAGACTCGAGTCCCTCATGAGTTAAGGTGTAAGTACATAAGAAGCTTGAAATCATGGCTGGGAATATTTTGTGATATTTCATAAAGGGATTACAGAGCCGCACTAAAATCCTGCCGTCGTTTTCTATTATAATTTGACATTAATATGCCTAGCCATGACTTCAAGCTTTTTATGAACTTGCACCTTTAGACTTTCAATACCTCGAATTAGAAAAAATCGCAATACCGTGTGGAAACGTATGATTGATGATAGAAGTATAACTCATTACATTCATTTACTTTTCAAAATTATGAATTATAATTATAGTCTGAGAGATAAATGTATGACAACAAATATGTTTAAACATACACATATATCATAGATCTCATAGTTTTTTTTTTTAATTTAATAACTATTTAATAATGTTAAGACAGAGATAAAGATAATGTTACAGTTCAACATGGGATTTCCCAATGTTAAGTATGTATGGACTTGAAGTAGAGCAACCAAAATACATAATTGTAATTCCACTTTAGCATTTATTCATTACACTCCAAGATTGTTTTAGATAACTCCTTTCCTATCCCTTCAAACAACCCATGTTGAACTGTAGAATGTAAATTATGGATCCTTTGTGAGCTTTTAGAAAACATGAAATATTTATAGACTTCTATTTATTGTTATTTGTTATAATTATGCTTAAGAGATGATGTCTGCTATTGCAAAACTCCATTAATACAGTTTAATGTCTTTTAAGAAAATGAGATGAATGCAATAAAAAAATCATTGATTTTGCAAAGCAGGAGGAGTTATGCATTAAATTAACCGGAT